CAAATTGCCCCCCCCCCCCCCAGCGTATCCTGGTTTTCAAGTACCCCAGCGGGGATAGGGTTAAATAATTATCAATATAAACTCCTAAAAGTAAACAACTATTAAAGAATTATTAATATATACTCCTAAAAGAAACAACAAATAAAAAATTATCTATATAAACTCCTAAAAGTAAACAACTATTAAATAATTATCAATATAAACTCCTAAAAGTAATCAACTATTAAAGAATTATCAATATAAACTCCTAAAAGTAAACAACTATTAAAAAGTTATCAATATAAACTCCTATAAAGTAAACAACTATTAAAGAATTATCAATATAAACTCCTAAAAGTAAACACAACTATTAAAGAATTATCAAAATAAACTCCTAAAAGTAAACAACTATTAAAGAATTATCAACAAATAATTTTATAAAATTTACTGCAAGTGTTTGGGGAGGAAAATTGTTAAACCCAAGGATGGAATGCTCAAAGTGATTGTAAACGTATATTCAAGGTATCCCACATTCAAAGAGTGGCACAGGTCTCATGCAGAACTGAATCTTGTAAACCTTTGTAAAAACAAAGATGATTGAGGTATTCATTTAGCTGAAATATTTTTATTGTGTTTTTTTTTATAAAATGACTGAAATTTTTTGATTTTCTCTATCCTTGTTTACATAGACATCGATGGTAAGATGTATTTTGATGTCTAACTGGAGACAGTTAAAGTTTCAGACCAATGAAAATCCTTGATCCGTTTCGTAATTTACATTTTCAACATAAACTTTCAATTGAGGATAAATAGGTAAATATATAACTAAATAGTAAATATTGTAAATGTTACACACAAAATAAGAGAATGTACAAGCATTATTTCAAGTGACCCCTCATGCAAAGATAACATTGCCTGATTTACAACGGTACCATTGAAACCTTAATCTGAGCAAAAATGTGTCAGCTTTTCACGGCCGGAGGGTCACTTGACATTACGCTTACAATCCATGTAAATCAAAATTCAGTGAATTGCATTTATGGCAATTTTATATACTTGATGTTTGGCTGTTGCCACACTTATGTAAATTCTTTACAAAATAATTTTAGTTTTGCATTTAAAGGGAGTGTTCTTTACTTATCTTTATTTCTTTAAAAAGCAAATTAAATGTTGATTTCAAAACAAATAATTTATTTGTACGGACACTAATGAAAGCTTAAGTTAAAGTGTACACTGTGCATGTACATCAGATTGAATGGAGAACTATTGTATGAGTGTACAACAAAGTTTCTACCAAACTCTACAGGAAAGCCAGTACAGTACAGTACAGTACAGTACAGTACAGTACAGTACAGTACAGTACAGTACAGTACAGTACAGTACAGTACAGTACAGTACAGTACAATTATTTAGAAAACTTTTTGTTTTTATCAATATATACGTTCCAAAATACAAAACAAGAAGGTCAAATTTAAGAGACATTACTGGTATGACTTTGTGAACTCTGATCTATAGTTTCGATTTTACGCTTAGTTATAAGAATAAGAAATGTATTTTGTTAAAAACTTAAAATTCCAAACATGTTTGTTCTTCTCATACAACATATCTTCAATAAAAGATGTAAGATTTCAATATAAATATCTGGTTTTTAAGATTTAGTTTTCTAGAAATGGTTTAAATAAATCATGACTTGTTCAAATATTTTAGGGGAACAAATAGCAATAAATATTTATGCCAACAAGGCTATTTATAATTTCTTAGTAATCTGCTGATAAATAAACAGGGTAAATATTGCTCACAAAAACACATATTTTTTTGCCGTATTCTGCACAATGTGTGAAAAAGTATGGCAAAATTTGATTAAACATATTGCCATATTTCTTTCCTGGGTTTTATTAAATTTGAAAATATCAATCATTTAGGAAAAATACTCAAAATCTATCAGATAAGATTAAAACCTTACTTATCTCAAGATGTATTGAAATTTAAATTTCATTTTTAAATGAATGGAAAACGTTTCAAACAATAGTTTTTGTTTAAATTTCTAATGTTAAATCTGCTTCGAGATATTTTTTTAAGAGTTATAACGCGTTTTTAGCACACGTTATTCTAGTTCAAACCTTTATTTCTAAGTACTTCATTGACTTATAAACTGCACCAGGAAATGGCTTACAGTTCTTTGAATTAGTTGTCAAAGTTTGATGTATTTGTGGAGATTACTGTACTGGTATCTTATAGATGCATTATGCCCAGTACTCCTGGAGAACCCTATTACAAGAGAAGCATCATCCAGGAGAGAGGATTGGGGTCTTTGTCATTCTACTTGCAATCTCATGCACTTCAGGAACATTGATTATCATCTTATTAGACACACCAACTATCATTTTAAGTAACTATGATTATTCTGCAGGAACTTTAACCTTCATACTAATGCAAAATTGAGTCTTTGCAACAAACTGTGATTTTCTACTCCTTATAACTTTGCAACCTAGTGTCTTTAGTACACCTTACACCATGCAAGAATTTTGCAAACCCTAATCGGCAGGCACAGGTATAAGCACGACGACATTTAATCTATGCTGCAAGAAGTTTTATGATACGATGCTAAAATGTCCGACCTACTGTTGTTTATGCTATTGAATATTTTGACAATTGTTTATGCTTCAAACATGTTTGCTTCCTAATGTAGTAATTAGAATAAAAATTACATCACAATTGCTACCAACAATAAAAATGAGATCATTTACAATTTAGTCGCATAAAACTATGACATAAACAATATAAACGCAAATAGTGGCCGTTATGATCTTAAAATAAAACAAATAACTAGAAATTAAAACTCAACCAAAGCATGTCAATATGCACAAGAGTGAAAATAACGAAAGTTCCCATGACGTTAGTTCAAGTGACTAACCACCAAAATGAATAATTTATGAATATATCTGAAGTGCAGATTTTCAACAAGGAACAATTATGAAATATATAAATAAGAGTTCACTGTTAGTTTACAGTTACACATCATCTAAGTCATATTTTATCATTTTTAGGTTGAAGAAATGTGTACTACAATTTTAAAGATTAAGTAATATTGGGAATGTCGTCTTCTATAAATCAGTATCGATTTCCAGGGTTTGCACTACTCTTGCAGGGTGCTTAGATATTTCAGACTTTGAAATTTGTTGGATAAAGGCTCATGTGATAATAATAAAAAGTTTGTTCTTTATTGTTCCTTTGTGAGGGTTTTCAGATTTTTAAAAGGTTCCATACATTTCTTATCCTAAGAGGAAATTTATCCAAAAAAATAAACCAAAAAATATATTTTAGTTGGAATAAACCATAATTTAAAAAAAATTTTAAATGCGGACCAAAATGAAATTAAAAACTTTTCTTTTGGTGAAAAAGCATTCGCAGAAACTTTATTACGCTGAAATCAATCAAACATGTTTGCTTTTAAAACATAAACAAAAGTTTTCCCTATGTTCTGTGGATCAACAATAATCATAAATTTAAAATTTAAAAGTACTGGGAATACTATAAAAGCTTGTTATAATCATGTTCTTAGTAAACCTAGAGAAAGTTTCCCTGTATACAATACAAGTCTGATAAGATTAATAAAACCAACTATATCTTATTTAATCTATTTCCCTGTATACAACACAAGTCTGATAAGATTAATAAAACCAACTATATCTTATTTAATCTATTTCCCTGTATACAATACAAGTCTGATAAGATTAATAAAACCAACTATATCTTATTTAATCTATTTTCCCTGTATACAATACAAGTCTGATAAGATTAATAAAACCAACTATATCTTATTTAATCTATTTTCCCTGTATACAATACAAGTCTGATAAGATTAATAAAACCAACTATATCTTATTTAATCTATTTTCCCTGTATACAATACAAGTCTGATAAGATTAATAAAACCAACTATATCTTATTTAATCTATTTTCCCTGTATACAATACAAGTCTGATAAGATTAATAAAACCAACTATATCTTATTTAATCTATTTTCCCTGTATACAATACAAGTCTGATAAGATTAATAAAACCAACTATATCTTATTTAATCTATTTTCCCTGTATACAATACAAGTCTGATAAGATTAATAAAACCAACTATATCTTATTTAATCTATTTTCCCTGTATACAATACAAGTCTGATAAGATTAATAAAACCAACTATATCTTATTTAATCTATTTTCCCTGTATACAATACAAGTCTGATAAGATTAATAAAACCAACTATATCTTATTTAATCTATTTCCCTGTATACAATACAAGTCTGATAAGATTAATAAAACCAACTATATCTTATTTAATCTATTTTCCCTGTATACAATACAAGTCTGATAAGATTAATAAAACCAACTATATCTTATTTAATCTATTTTCCCTGTATACAATACAAGTCTGATAAGATTAATAAAACCAACTATATCTTATTTAATCTATTTTCCCACAATATGTTTTCTCAGTCTCATAATCGTAAAGAAGAAAATATCGAAAGACATTTGATTTTTTAACATTAATTTCTTTTTAAATTCAAATTAAAAAAATATTGGGTAGAGACAGATCACACAAAAAAATTTTTTTTTTAATAATTCTTGTCATATATTTTTCCTCCTTTTTTCTTCATTTTCTTATTTTGTTGACTCTCCCCTTCCGACAATTTGAATAACAGTTTTGTTTTCGAAACCCTGTAGAGCTGTCGATATTCTTTAATATAATACAAGTAAAACAAGGATTCAAATAAAAAAAATCTTTTAAGATCTTAAAATGAACACAATAACTTTTTTGAATCAAAATATTTATTTTATCATATTCTATGAGTAAATTACACATTTTTTTAAAAATAATAATACTATTCATCGTTTATCAAATTTTATCTGTATTACATTTTAAAATTCTGACGAGATCATTATAACACAATAATAACTTGTGTCATATCTTATTGGCCTTAAAGAATTGGGTTATGAACATGTGTTGCACACTCCTGTATGCCGAGTCCATTAGCGCCTGATCCAATCATGGTGCAGTCATGTGTTTGTTGTCTATTCTGAACCAATAGAAATAGTATTACGGTAATATCTATCTTTCTATTTATCTCATAAATCCTTGAATCGGCGCTATCAGTAAATGGAATATATACTTCTGCTGAAACGATGATGCAGGCAACCTGGCACCTTTACTTTGAGGCCTTATTCTAGGCCCCTTTCCAGCCTTTATAGGGTTAACATAAAAAATATTTAACTATTTACTGGAACTAATTCTTGACAAGTAGAAAATACTTAAAGAGGTGGTTGGTCTTCAGACATGGGTATTTTGTGCCACTTTCCTAGAGTGTATTTATACTTAATCGGCAGGTTTTGTACACAAACATATTATAGGGGCAAAGAAACTTAACATTTTAATAGTAATATTAATCGTTTTCATTCCATAATAAAAAAATGTAATGCTTATTTGACACCACTGGATACTATTTTCTATCTATAACCCAAATTAAATGTTTTATTTAAATTACAACTACAGTCTAGGAAAATAAAAATTACAAAAAATGTACAGGCTAAAGCTTTTTAGAGCTTAGCATATTGATATAGTTTTAGCTTAAACTCTAGTGGATCGTTAATAAGAATAGAGATAAACAATATTGGTTTGAAGATTAGCTTAAACTCTTGTGTATCGTTAATAAGAATATAGATAAACAATATTGGTTTGAAGAACGAACGAGGAAATATTTGAAGAGTTAAAGGTAAACACTTTATAAACTCCTCTCTCACTGTGTAGATTCAAATTTATTTTATCTGGAGAGGGGGGAGGGCAGAGTGCACTATAAACGCCCCCTTTTATTTAGATTTAAAACAATTATTGTTCACAATATGACTTTTTCATGTTGCGCAAAAATAAAAAATAAAAACATGTATATTTGATTTGATAATTCTTGTCTTTTTTCAATGATTTTCGAGGCATGGGCAGTGCTTAATGAACATATTGTCAAATTGACATCGAATATAAACTTTTTTGACTTCTTTTTAATTAAATAAACAACCAGAGGTTACTAAGAGAGCATCACTATTGCCAAATCTATTAAGATATCAACAGTAAATCAACAGTGATTTAGGTGCACACAGGTTTAGTTTGCAGTTTTCACTTGCGAACCCGGTTTTACTCAGTAAAGGAAGAATTTTTAAATTTTTAAATTTCATATTTATTAGTAAAATGTTTTCACATATTGTTTGATGTTTTTTTGTAAGTAAGATCAAATGTCTGATTTTACGTTGATATTTACCTTGGCTGTCCGAGCTAGTTTTCGATGATATGCAGCACATATTATGATACATACCTCGGCTGTCCGAGCTATTTTTCGATGATATGCAGCACATATTACAATACATACCTCGGCTGTCCGAGCTAGTTTTCGGTGATATGCAGCACATATTACGATACATACCTCGGCTGTCCGGGCTAGTTTTCGATGATATGCAGCACATATTACGATACATACCTCGGCTGTCCTAGCTAGTTTTCGATGATATGCAGCACATATTACGATACATACCTCGGCTGTCCGAGCTAGTTTTCGATGATATACAGCACATATTACGATACATACCTCGGCTGTCCGAATAAGTTTTTGATGATATTCAGCACATATTACGATACATACCTCGGCTGTCCGAGCTAGTTTTCGATGATATACAGCACATATTACGATACATACCTCGGCTGTCCGAGTAAGTTTTTGATGATATTCAGCACATATTACAATGATTATACATGAGATGTCACAGTTTTACATTCATTTACATATTTCTAGCCCTTAATCATAGTACAGGGTGTCCCAATAAACATGGGAATTCAGTGACGAATTCGATATCGTCTTTTTAAATAATTCTTTGATTTAGTTTAGTGATACCTACTGAGAAAGCTGAAATCCGTATGATTCTCGTCTGCTGTGTTCACATTTTGTTTGTTTATGTTTTGACTGCATACGATTGTATTTAGTAAAACAAGAAAATTACAGTATACAAACAGAGTAAACTTGTCAGTCTTCACTGTTCATCTTCGGAGACATTATAGACACATCTTTACTGCCATTTACCGTTTTCATTAAATAAACTCTAGCTGCAGACATAATAATATTATGGCTTTTGAAATTAGGTATTACAATGCTAATTCACAACAAAGACAATAACGAATTCGTCACTGAATTCCCATGTTTATTGGGACACCCTGTATATAAGCGTTACAAACAGAGAAGGTTACCTATGTAGAGTAAAAATTTAAAATCTGAAATATTTGATTAAAAAACTGTTTTTAGATTTTGTCGAATCAGTTCCCTAACTTAGCAATTGATTTTGCACTTGGTAGCTCCGTAGAAAACAACCCTATTATGGGATTACGGTAATAGTTTTAGTACTACACTTTTATGGGGGGGGGGGGGATAAAGAAAAGATAAACAATGGTTTAATAATATTGTTATGGTGATCCCAACCATTTGTTAATTTATTAGTATGTTCCATGCTTTTTGAGCAGGAGCGTATACAGAAATATGTCCAGCTGAGCCTTTTAGAAAGTTGAAGACCCCCTCAATGTTTAGACTTTTATAGGAGGAAGGGAGGGAGGGGGGTGGTAACCCCTTTTGTATTCATCCCTATTGACGAGGGAGTTTAAATGGCATCAGAAAGAGATGTATGAAAATAGACTAATTCTGAACGTGTTGTTATTTATATATCATTTGATCCATTAGTAGAATTATATCGGAAGATCTTTTGATAATTCATAAGATAGCTATGTATATATAGTTATTTTAGGACGGGCTGTATTGCTTTAGATCGATTTAAAAATTGATTAAACTCATTTAAAGTCTAGTCGATCCATTTAACAGTTTCCAGCTTAGGTCTATTTTAGTCATAGAGAATAGAATATATAGAGAGGAATTAAAAGTATCTCTCGGTATGATTTTTTTCAGTCCCTTTCAGCCTTTATACATTAATACCGTATGTTCCCTATACTATCCATTTCAATTTCGAATTTTTTAAAGCTGTTAAATAAACTTTATAATGAATTAGGCGAATAAAAACATCATTTGATTTATAGTTATAACGGAAAATCATCGTTTGTAAAGTGGAAGGCAGATAGTCTATGTGAAATGATCATTGGTCAATTATGAAACCAGCCTATTTCATAATTTGGTTTTCTTTTAACAATAATTTTAGATTTTCTATAAAATGATATTCCAGGGCCCAACAGGTTATATAGCCTAAATATGTGAAGTACAAATGCAGTATGGAAACAGTACAACAAAATGGGCGATTTACACTTTTTTCTAGTAAATTCTCCTCTAATATATATTCTATTCTCTTTGATTTTAGTATTTCACGTGGAGTCCGTGAAGAGAGGGAGGTTTTGAAACCAATGGTTCGTTTAGTCGGTAATATGCATGGTAATGAAGCAATTGGAAGAGAAGTAGTTCTTCATCTAGCTCATCACCTTCTTCATGCATATTCTCAGGTACGGGGTGTGTTTGATCAGGAATGCGAATTATATTGTAATGTTTTTTATTTATTGAGTAAATTTCCGTGATTAACATCTTGTTGGAAAGGAAAAGTTGTTAGCGTTTGATTGTATTATAATATAATCTGCTGAGTAAAAAACTCAGTCTTCCACCGGCAATTGAGTAGAACAGGTAGTTCTCCACCTAGGAAACCATCATCTTCTTCATGCATATACTCAGGTAGTTCTTTATCTAGTTAATCACCTTTTTCATGCATATACTCAGGTAGTTCTCCATCTACTAGAACATCAACTTCTTCATGTATGTACTATGTACTCACGTAGTTCTTCAAGAAGATGATGAACTACTATAGTAGTTCATCATCTTCTTCCTGCATATACTCAGATAGTTCTTCAATTAGTAGATCACATTTTTTGACAATTACATATAAACATAAATTATTTTATAGTTTTTTACTTTCCTATTTACTAACCTAACCAAACCCTCAGGATGAGAGAATCCGTGAACTAGTGGACAATACAGATATATCTTTACTCCCAACCCTAAACCCAGATGGGTTCGAGAGAGCAGATAAAGGAGATTGCTCAGGAACAAGAATATATAATATATGTCTCAAGTTGAAGATTTTTTGTCTCAAAGATAAAAGGAAGCCATATTTTAGTTTTGTTTGTAAAAGACATAAATGCTTGTTGGTTCAGGAACCGGGAAAAAACACGGGATGTACAATTCAGGGAACGTTGATCTGAACAAAGATTTCCCGGATTTCAAGGATTGGAAAAGATTTCAAGAAGATTATTCATTCACAGTTTACCCAGGTAACATGTGAAAGCTAATTTCATGTCAAAAGGACTGTAATCGTAATTTCAAGTGACCCTCCATGCATATATGGCGATGTTGGATTCACAACGTTATCCTTTAAAGCTTTGTCTGATCAAATATCAATTAGATATTTAAGTTTAAAATTTGGAAAACTTATTATTTTCAATTGTGATTTCTCTACAATAAAAAATGACTGGCGCAATTTTACTGCAAGAAAACATATAGGAATTATCGGAAGTAAACACTTTTAAAAATAGAAAACGACAATATTTGATATTATAAAGGTGTTAAGGCCATTGTGATTCGTACATTGACATCTTTCCGTCGAGGGTTACTTGAAATAACGATTTCCTGTGATCCAAAGGTTGCAAGTTCTTATTCAAAAATCTATCAGCATCATTCCATTTACCCCTTTTATACTAAAGGAAGAAACAAGTTGTCCCATCTTGATAATTGATGCAGCCGTTCATAGCAGTTTGGGATCTATTTAGCTTTCTGGTTTAAGCCAAATACGTTAAGTTTATAATTCATTGGCCTTCAGGTCGTCAGCCAGAGACTATTGCTGTCATGGATTGGAGTGTTTCAAATCCATTTGTTCTGTCTGCAAACCTTCATGATGGAGCTGTTATGGTTACTTTTCCTTACGATTTCCAGGTATACGACAGAATACAGTATCCAGGTATACTACAGAATACAGAATCCATGTATACTACAGAATACAGTATCCAGGTATACTACAGAATACAGGATACAGGTATACTACAGAATACAGGATATAGGTATACTACAGAATACAGGATACAGGTATACTACAGCATACTGGATCCAGGTATACTACGGAATATAGGATCCATGTATACTATAGAATACAGGATCCATGTATACTGCAGAATACAGTATCCAGGTATACTACGGAATACAGTATCCATGTATACTGCATAATACAGTATCCAGGTATACTACGGAATACAGTATCCATGTATACTGCATAATACAGGATCTAGGTATACTACAGCATACAGTATCCAGGTATACTACAGAAAACAGGACACACGTATACTACGGAATATAGGATCCAGGTATACTACAGCATACAGGATCTAGGTAGTATACTACAGAATACAGGATCCAGGTATACTACAAAATAGAGGATTCAGGTATACCACGGAATATAGGATCCAGATATACTACAGAATACAGGATTCATGTATACTACAGACTACAGGATCCAGGTATACTACAGAATACAGGATCCAGGTATACTACGGAAGATAGGATCCATGTATACTACAGAATACAGTATCCTGGTATACTACAGAACAAAGAATACAGGTATATTACAGAATATAGGATACAGGTATACTACAGAATACAGGATCCTGCTATACTACAGAATACAAGGTCCATGTATACTACAGAATACAGGATCCAGGTATACTACAGAATACAGGATCTAGGTATACTACAGAATACAGGATCCAGGTATACTACGAAATATAGGATCCATGTATACTAAAGAATACAGGATTCATGTATACTACAGAATACAGTATCCAGGTATACTACAGAATACAGTATCCAGGAATGCTAAAGAACACAGAATACAGGATTATTCTTTCAGGTCGGAGAAAATACCCGAGAAGCAAACCTAACCCCTGACAATGATATATTCTCCCATCTAGCGGAGATCTATGTAACTTCCCATCCAACAATGGGAAACCTAACTAAATGTTTCAGGTATTTTACTTCTTATCTTGAAAAACAATTTAGTTTTACACTTTCACTTAAACCATTGCGGTTCATTTCAAATATCGCGGTCAGCGAAGTAAAAATTAGAGAATCTAATCATTTTATGCTGTTTTCCTAGAAATACTAAATATATGACTCTAGAATAATAAAAATAAACAGCCTGAATTCCCAGCACAAAATCTGTAAACTGCAAATAATAAATTTTGCAACTAATGATCTCGTACGTCAAAATTTCGAGAATGTCAAATTTATTAAATTTGAAAATTTATCATTTAAATTAAAATGATAGAGCCGTGTGCAATTCAATGTGATAGTACACTCTCTTTAAAACTCTCAGACAGCGTGGTATATATTATAGATGCATGTTTTCAGGCGTGTTCCAGGGGGATGGATAAACGGAGCAGAATGGCACAGTACTAATTCCGCAGGAGCAAGCAACGGATCTTTGAAGGATTTCAGGTAATTGCTTTTTTCAGTTAGTTTGATTTTTTAGTGATTAAAGTAGTTTTACTTTAAGGATATCCTGTAAAGGTTATTTTACTTAAAATGATATTCTGTAAAGGTTATTTTACTTTAAAGGATATTCTGTAAAGGTTATTTTACTTTAAATGATATCCTTTAAAGGTTATTTTACTTTAAATAATATCTTTTAAAGGTTACTTTACTTTCAAGGATTTTAAATTATATTTTATTTTGGAGAATTTTACATTATTTTCACTTTAAACTTTTTTTTACTTCGAGGGATATTAGTAGGAGACTTCACTTTGGTTGAATAAAAAGTTTTTTACTGGGGAGAAGGTTTCTTTACTGATATGCTTTGACGATGCATGCTCTTGTTACAGAACTTGAAATAAAAAACTTCCCTCTAAAGACAATTCTAGAGCATGAATAGGCTCAAGAGTGTTTTAGCCACAGATACAAATTTAACACTTTTTAAAAAAAGGTTGGGTTAAAAATGAGCCGTATCTTGCTGCAGAGTTAAAAAATGAAAACTAAGAAAATAAAAATCTAACCTTAATGAACTTGTTGTTTAGTTACCTGTTCACAAACAACTTCGAGCTGACCCTTGAGCTGACCTGCTGCAAGTTTCCAACCAGGTATTGATAACAATAAATGTCTATGGAAAGTCAAACTAAAGTAAATTAAACCTTAAATATTTTCAATCCTAACTCCTGTTATTAAAGAGCTGTTGAAAAGAACAAAAAAGTTTTGACTTTGTAATATGGAACCGAATAAAATTGTTTTTCTCATTTGTAAAATCATAACTGCAGAAGCTACGAGGTCACAAAGTCCTACAAGTAATGACACATTAATTTGACCTTTTACAGGGATGGTATCCGGTTTCAAGGGATTAGAAAGTTTAGTATGAGGCCATGTAATCCGTTCCATTCCATTGATTAATTAAATACATGTTTAGATATTTTATACTCAGAGAATGGGAAAACAACAAGAATAGTTTGTTGTCCTTTCTAGAACAGGTTTGCTACTTTTTAGAACAGGTTTGCTGCTTTTCTAGAACAGGTTTGCTACTTTTTAGAACAGGATGGCTACTTTTCTAGAACAGGTTTCCTACGTTTCTAGAGCAGGTTTAATTATTTTTCAGAACAGGTTTGCTACTTTTTAGAACGGGATTCCTACTTTTCTAAAACAGTTTTACTACTTTTCTAGAACAGGTTTGCTAATTTTCAAGAAAAATTTTGGTATTTTATTTCTAAACAAATTTGTTATTTCTTGTTACTTTTCTCAATCCAAGGAGTTTTCCTTTTTTTTAGAACTGATCCTTATTTTTCAAGGACATGACCAGTAAGAGTTTAAATTTTTGATACATGTGGGTGTGAAGGTTTTAATGTTTAGATACATATGGGTGTGAAGGGTTTAATGTTTAGGTACATATGGGTTTGAAGGGTTTAATGTTTAGGTACATGTGGGTGTGAAGGGTTTAATGTTTAGGTGCATGAAGGATGTGAAGGGTTTAATGTTTATCTACATGTTGATGTGAAGGGTTTAATGATTAGGTGAATTTGGGTGTGAAGGGTTTAATGTTTATGTATATGTGGGTGTGAAGGGTTTAATGCTTAGGTACATGTGGGTGTGAAAGGGTTTAATGCTTAGGTATATGTGGGTGTGAAAGGGTTTAATGTTTAGATACATATTGGTGTGAAGGGTTTAATGTTTAGGTACATAGAGGTGTGAAGGGTTTAATGTTTAGGTGCATATGGGTGTGAAGGGTTTTATTTTTAGGTACATATGGGTGTGAAGGGTCTATTGTTTTGGTTCATATGAATGTAAAGGGTTTAATGTTTGGAAACATATGGGCGTGAAGGGTTTAATTTTAGGTACATATGGGTGTGAAGGGTTTAATGTTTAGGTACATATGGGCGTGAAGGGTTTAATGTTTAGGTACATATGGTTGTGGAGGGTTTAATGTTTAGGTACATATAGGTGTGAAGGGTTTAATGTTTAGGTACATATGGGAGTGAAGGGTTTAATGTTTAGGTACATATGGTTGTGAAGGGTTTAATGTTTAGGTACATATGGGTGTAAAGGGTTTAATGTTTAGGTACATATGGGTGTGAAGGGTTTATTGTTTAGGTACATATGGGTGTTAAGGGTTTAATATTTAGGTATATATGGGTGTAAAGGGTTTAATGTTTAGGTACATATGGGTGTGAAAGGTTTAATGTTTAGGTACATATGTGTGTGAAGGGTTTAATGTTTAGGTATATATGGGTGTGAAGGGTTTAATGTTTAGGTACATATGGATGTGAAGGGTTTAATGTTTAGGTACATATGGGTGTGAAGGGTTTAATATTTAGGTACATATTGGTGTGAAAGGTTTAATGTTTAGGTACATATGGGTGTGAAGGGTTTAATGTTTGGGTACATATGGGTGTGAAGGGTTTAATGTTTAGGTACATCTTGGTATTAAGGGTTTAATGTTTAGGTACATCTTGGTATTAAGGGTTTAATGTTTAGGTACATCTTGGTATTAAGGGTTTAATGTTTAGGTACATCTTGGTATTAAGGGTTTAATGTTTAGGTACATCTTGGTATTAAGGGTTTAATGTTTAGGTACATCTTGGTATTAAGGGTTTAATGTTTAGGTACATATGGGAGTGAAGGGTGTAGTATTTGGACCTGCTGGTATCCCTGCTGAGAACGCTGATGTTGTTGTCTGGAATCCTGACGGTTCAAGGAAATCAGAACTTTCATTCAAAAAATTACGAAAACTTTATTATGAGGTTAATAATGATCAGTTTAGTGACCAAAACTTAATTTAATTGATTCAGATAGTTTAATAATCAATTTGATACTTAATATTTTAGTTAGTTTATTGATTTTTCCGTAATTAATTCAATAATCAATTCAGTAATAAACTCAAAAATCTTTATCTAAGTTTATTAACTTTATAATCAATTCATCAATCTCAATCCTTTAGTTAATCAATTGTTTATCAATTTGATTGTTCGATGATTGATTCTTAAATCAGTTTTCTATTTCTTTGATTAGATTGCTTAATAATCAATTCTGAAAATAATGCAGCTTATTTTGCTTTCAAACTTAATTATGTTACATTTGTCGGATTTAATTTATTTCCTGTTTGAAAAATGTTTTTTCACGCATTTTTGTAAGAAATCAAATCAAATCTGAGCTAAATTCTATTTTTACTAACTTTATCTGAAGTTCAAGCAACATTTTCATTTCCCAATTTTTCCTTTTTTTCATCTTAAATCCTGACTTTGATTGAGATCAGGAGAGGGAAGAATATGACGACATTCACAACTGGAGAATACTGGAGACTACTTTTACCAGGTAGACAGGGGGAGGGGGAGGTGGAGAATACTGGAGACTACTTTTACTAGGAGGGGGTTGAAGTCTACTTTTATCAGGTAATTTACGTTTAATAAGCTGAACTATATCAATCTGTCGGATATTTTACGTAGATTTAAAAAAAATTTTAAAAATTTAATCAAGCCATGATGAATACTATTTTACCTAAAACACCGTTTTTTTTAACAAAATTGTAAATAAGAAATATTAACAATTCATAATCATACATTTTATGATTTCTATGGTGTGTATTGGGTACAATTTAGATAAAAATTGGGGACAATTTAGTTTAAAATTGGGGAGAATTTAGTTTAAAATTGGGTACAATTTAGTTTAAAAGTGGGTACAATTTAGTTTAAAATTGGGTACAATATAGTTTAAAATTGGGTACAATTAACAAAAGAAGACAATCATCATCTTATTTTCCATTTTTTTAACGAGTTTGGTCTTTGCTGCAGAATGCACTCAACTGTTTGTTCTAGGGAAACGGGTTAATAACGGAGAGTCTACATACATAATTCAAGCATTCTATGAGGACTGTGATAATACTGGCAGAACTTATGCTTCCATTAGGCATAAGGTAATATCTTTAGACAACTTTGTAAAGTGATTGTTTTTTGTCAACAAAGTTTTCCAGTTTTATTTCGTGTGAATTAGGATCCTGAAAGGCCTTATCGGACCCTTTCCTGAACTTGGAACTTTTGAAACAAAAATTAAGGACGAAACCATTCTTAACCGCACATTATGAACACTTGTATGATGAGCGATTTACGATGAAAGCCCTGAAAATCAACGATGGAAATATTTTAAAACAATTGTGGAAATCTCCGTCGAATTCTACGAAATAATTGATTTAAATTTAAATTTGAAATAGTTAACTCTTTCATTAACGAGTCAACCAATTTAGGATGGGCGGGTATATGTGATATCATAGTCAAACTATAGGTTTCGCGCCTCTTTTTTAGTAACTATTTTAACTTTCAACTGTTGATATCCAAGCCGCTATTTTTTTCATAATACTCCAGTAAAAAAAATTGCTGCAGAGATTATCAAAAACTTTATGGTCGTGAGGTCCTCCAAAAAAAATTGGCACCGATCGCGTCACCTGTTGACAGACAAGCCAAATTACAAAAATATATTTAGTGTTGTTAAAGAAACAAAGGTCAAAAATAGGTTTCCACAATGTTAGCCCAGTCAACATTTTAAAAGTCTTTTGATGTTTCCGAAGTTCCTGGATAAACTGTAAATTATTTAATATTTACCAGGTTCTTGTATCAGAGAAGAGTCCCATCGTGGTTCAGCACATGTTTCTTCGCCATGTTGGATTCTGTGGTATCCAAGTGTTTGATGGGACCCGGAGTCGAGATCAGTTAATTAATGAGATTGAGGAACTTGTTCAACAGACACCAAAGGTGCAAGGGGACAAGGGGACAAGGGTTCAGTAAAAGTCATTTTTTTCTTTAACACTAAACGAACGGATCTGAGAAGTTCTTAGCTACAAATTCCGCTAAATATAGAAACTAAAACACTTTAGAAAATATATAAAACAGGATAAAAATCATCGTTTTAAAGAAAATTTCAGGAATGTAAGCAATGATTTTTGTTATTTAAAACGGTCATGACTCTGATCATTTTTCACGGGCATTTTTAGCAGTTACAAAGGAATTGAGTTTTTGCCAAAAACACGAATATGTTAATCCCTTTATCTCTGCAACCCGATGTCGTAGATAATAAATATTAAAATCTAAGAATTTTGTCATATCAAACATTTTTTTCAAACAAGTTTTAGATAGCAAAAATGTGCACCATCAAAGATATAGGGGATAGAAAATTTTAGTTTATGTTTAAAAATTGAATTCCTTTCAAATTCACTATGTGATGTTTCTAACTATATTGTACTCAAAAACAATGAACAATTATGCTGCAGAATGATGCCCGTACCTAAAAACTTTCTTTAAAACAAAAATCAAATCATTCTTTATCCATTTTTAATAATGTAAATTATTTCAACGTTTTTTTTAACAATTCTCTCAGCTCATACATAAACTTAGACGACATTGATTATCATCAAATTTTTGGATTAATAAGGTATAAAGAATCAATTATTTTTTTTACATTGATATTACCATGCAACCTTTAGAAAATCTTTACAAAACACTTGTGTACAATACTAAATCTTTTAAAAGTGTGTTCTTTCAGCCAATTGGTCTCTGTCTTATATTTATTTTCCAGGAAGAGGAAGACGACATATTAGATCTTGTTTTTGAGAATCTAGCAGGGAGAAAAGAGCTTGGTAATGAAGATTACTCCCAAATCAGAGAAGATGAAGATTACTCCCAAATAACAGAAGATGAAGAGTACTCCCAAAATCAGGAAGAATTCTATTCCCAAGAATACTCCCAAGAATCAGATGAAAATGACTATTCCCAAGACACGGACCAGAACCAGGGCAAGAACCAGGATCAGGATCAGGACCAGGGCCAGGACAAGAATCAGGATCAGGACCAGGACCAGGACCAGGACAAGAACCAGGATCAGGACCAGGACCAGGACCAGGACAACTCCAAAAATGAAAATAAAGAAGGGTTTGAAGAATCTCCTAGAACTAGACAAGAAACAGATGATAAACAACTTAATACAACTATTTCCTTGTTTTAAAAAGAAAAGATCAAAATTGGATAAATCATCTTTTTTATTTTTTATACAGGGTGTCCCAAAAAACATGGGAATTCAGTGACGAATTCGATATCGTCTTTTCAAATAATTCTTTGATTTAGTATAGTGATACCTACTGAGAAAGCTGTAATCTGTAAGAGTTTCGTCTGCTATGTTTACATTTTGTTTGTTTATGTTTTGACTGCATACAGTTGTACTTAGTAAAACAAGAAAATTACAGTATACAAACAGAGCAAACTTGTCCGTATTCACTGTTCATCTTGCGGAGACATTATAGACACATCTTTGCAGTCGTTTACCCTTTTCTTTAAATAAACTCTAGCAGACATTATAATATTATTGCTTTTGAAATTAGGTATTACAATGCTAATTCATAACAAAGACGATATCGAATTCGTCACTGAATTCCCATGTTTTTTGGGACACCCTGTATTACAATATTAAAATTACATCTACTCGTATCTAGTCTAAAAAAACAGAAAGAACAGGTGCAATTTTGGAAAGGAAAATTTTTGTTCTCCAAAAATGTACTCTCCGGAAAGTGTACCAACGAATTATGTTTTTGAAATTTTTTATGTTATCGCAACTTAGGAAGGGGGTTGTCTTCTCTTGCACCTTAGTTATACAAAAATTAGCATTAAGTATCATAGAAATGATTTGATGCAAAGTAGTCATGAACATCAAATATGCTTTTTATAAAAGATTTTTATATTGTGTTGGCAGCTGTAATATGTAAAATACTGTACTCTCTTATGTAAATAAAAATCTTATTCTGGTAATGTAATCTTATTTATACTCACAGACTAATAAGACTACGCATAAGCTCTACCTGGATAGGCTAAGCAGGCCTTTAGTGTCCCGGCACGCCATTCTACAGTTTCATGAAAGGTGTTTGACTGCCATCTAACAGCCACTTGTTGCATATAATACCCTTTCAGTGGTTAAGTTTTACAGCTCTTACGAAATAATATTTATGAATTTAGTCTATTTTTGAAGATTTTATATTTCATATCCAAAGGGTCCTTAAATATCCCTGAATATAGACGTTTGTTGATGGGTGTTGTACATGTACTTGTAAACAATAAAACCTGCTGTGGAAAATATCGCATAGCATGGATTTCAATCTCTGTTACTCTTATCTCTAGTTATACTCAAGTAGACCTTAAACAGGTATTAGGAAATATTTTTAGTTAAATTAAATTTAAATCATTTACAATTTTTACAAATAATATCTTTTCTAAAATTGTCAAAGCTAACAACTTTAAAATTTAAGGAGTTAAGATAAAATCCACTTTTTCTTCGGCCAGTATACTGCAGAACACCAAAGTTCGTTGAGTTAATAGTAATGCTAATCCACCCTCAATACAGCTAATTTTAATAAATTGAGTGTAATTTGTAAATTTTGATGTCAAACAAAACAAAAAATCCTAAATCTAAATAAACGGGGATTTTTTGTCACAAAAACTGTTTAATTTCCTGATATACTTTAATCATCTTTGGTGATTATTGTCCTACTTATTAGTTAAGAAAAGGTAAGACATGGTTAGAACCAGGCTCTGGGTATATGTTTGGTAGATATAAACAAACTTTTTTATTCTAAAATGTTATTTTAAATGTTTATTGTGTTAAGATATGAAATGTTTTGATAAAATACCTGTTATAAAATACCGATAAAACGCTCTACTCCTTCATGTTTGTGAGACAGTACACCAGCAATATTCAAAGCAGATCAATCTGTGGTGAGTATAAGCAGCTTGTCAGAATCAAAGTCTAGATATGCTTGAATCGTTCCTGCTGTGAACTCTGCCTTTAACTCTTTGAAATCCTTTTCTATGTTCTCTTACCACTTGAATTTCACCACCTTCTTCATCTAATTCATCCTGTTTGTCAAAGCTGAGTACCTGGGAATAAAACCACGGTTGAATCCTGTAAAACATAGGAATGAGGACATCTCCTGTGGTTGAGTGTGGCTAGTTCTGTACATTCTTTATATAATTCTCCAACATTTGTACTCCATCCTGACTCACTTTATGTCCTAAGTACTCTACTTCCAACAGAAAAATCTTGGTCTTCTTGGGCTGTATCTTGATCCCTGCTTTATTATGAGCTTGTACAACTTACCTCAGATTATCTAAGTGTACCCATGGATCCGTTGAATACACTAGGATATCATCCAGATAACTCAACCTGTAATCTGCAGGTAGATGAGTTATGGCCAGGTCCAGCATCCTGCTATACATGCTGCCTGCGTTAGACAAGCTGAATGACATTCGTATTTAATGGAAGGTCCCAAGCGGGCTGATGAATGCTGTTCAGTCTCTACTTTCTTTCTTGATTTGTATGCAGTGACAGGCTCCGTGAATATTGTGGCACCCTTCAACTTCTGCAGATTCTCTTGAATGTTTGTCAATGGATAAGCATCCTTCACTGTGGCAGAATTTAAAAGCCTTAGATGTGTCACCCATCTCATCCTTCCATCTTTCTTCTTAACTGGAACTAATGGTGAAGCCCAGGGACTGTTAGCAGGTTCAATAACCCCCTGCTCTATCCACTCGTCTATCTGATTCTTTAAGTTTCTCTTCTGATCCGAGTTCACATGGTCTCACTTTCTATCTTTTTGGAACTGTTCCTGTTTATAATTCTATTTTTAACTCTACAAGATCTTTTTCCCGTAATGATTGGTATGCAACGCCAGAGCCGAAAAATTGTCAAAAACAATTAAACTACTTCCTCTTTCATTTTTTCAATTTTCAAATTTGAGCTAATTCGGCCTAGCAGTTTGGTCAGCTCTAGCTAAGAGATTTTTACTTTTTCTATTTTCTTACGTGTAAGCTAATAATTGAGTCCTCCAGTCCTCCCTGCAGCTACTCCTGGGGTGATAAACTTGAAAGTTCTGATTAGAAAGTTGAAACATAATGTAAGGATAAGATTATACCAAGAAGATAAATGTAGATTATTAAAGGGTTATACATTAACTTTACTAAGGATAGGATTGTTTGGAGCAGAAACTGATTATCATTCTATTTTCTTACTACGTACAAGTATTTTCTTAAAGGGACTACGTACAAGTATTTTCTTAAAGGGACTGTCCATGTATTTTCTTAAAGGGACTGTCCATGTATATTCTTAAAGGGACTGTCCATGTATTTTCTTAAAGAGACTTTACATGTATTTTCTTAAAGGGACCACGTACAAGTATTTTCTGAAAGGAACTGTACATGTATTTTCTTAAAGGGACTATACAAGTATTTTCTTAAAGGGACTGTACATGTATTTTCTTAAAGGGACTGTACAAGTATTTTCTTAAAGGGACTGTCCATGTACTTTCTTACAGGGACTGTCCATGTACTTTCTTAAAGGAACTGTACATGTATTTTCTTAAAGGGACTATCCATGTATTTTCTCAAAGGGACTGTCCATGTTTTTTCTTAAAGGGACTGTACATGTATTTTCTTAAAAGGACTGTACAAGTATTTCCTTAAAGGGACTTTACATGTATTTTCTGAAAGGGACTGTCCATGTATTTTCTTAAAAGGACTGTACATGTATTTTCTTAAAAGGACTGTACAAGTATTTCCTTAAAGGGACTGTACATGTATTTTCTGAAAGAGACTGTACATGTATTTTTTTAAATGGACTGTACATGTATTTTCTTAAAGGGACTGAACATGTATTTTCTTAAAGGGACTGTACAAGTATTTTCTTAAAGGGACTGTCCATGTATTTTCTTAAAGAGACTGTCCATGTATTTTCTTAAAGGGACTGTACATATATTTTCTGAAAGGGACTGTCCATGTATTTTCTCAAAGGGACTGTACATGTATTTTCTTAAAAGGACTGTCCATGCATTTTCTTAAAGGGACTGTCCATTTTTTTCTGAAAGGGACTGTACAGGGACCCCCTTTTTATTAAGCGGCATGTTGGATTAACAAGTAAAGTTTTTTATGATCAAGAATGAATGAGATATCAATAACTTTTTTTTGAAAATTGATTAATTTTAATTGTGGTTTATCAACATAAAAATCGAGACTTAAATATTTCTACAACAAAAATCATAATTATGGAGGAAATTGTTAAAATTTAACTTATGCGCGAATGTTATTTTAGTATTGAATAATGTGGGAATAAAATTATTTCGGCTTACTAAAAATTCCGGTTTATTTGGGTCAATTCCAGGTTTCCACAAGTCCATCAGAGCTGGGAACTTTTGAATGGTGGATATCGGGATGAATGCTTGATCCACTATTTTTCTTAATCTGCAGATTAACATAATCTTGCAAGATTATCTTAAAAGTGTATGTAAAACGATAAAATTCATATTAATATTTAATCATCTGAGAAACTGTAGCAGCCAATCAGAGAAAAGCGGGCAACCAATGAGAGAACAGAAATATTCTCATTGGAGAAAACAATTAACGGATATCCAAGGAGAGAGAAAAAGAGTGGATTGAGGACTAAAATGAAAGTTTTCCACAGTGGATATTCGGATCAAGAAATCAGGATTAAAGTTCATCCATTCTAAAGTTTTCAGCTCAGTTCAGTCGTTTTAATGTTTACCGGCTGATGTGTCCGTCGTTGCCCATTGAAATTGATAAAAGCTTTGGGAAAAAATTGATTTCATGAAGAAAAAACGATTTATTATTATTTTAGCCTATATCAACAACCCCCCCCCCCCCGGACCCATGGACTTACTCAAAAAATCTAAGCCCTTCGGTCGGCTATAGCTAACATATAAATATACATATATATGAGCGAAGATCTTTATCGTATATAACGAACAGACAGACAAGCCAACATTATTTGTGTGCACTGTGCAGTGTGCACTTGGAGTAAAGTAAATACAATACATTTCTTGTACTTAAAAAGTATAATATTAATTTTTAAATCTAAATAACACAAATCAACACTATTCAGTTTGTTGGAGAACAACCGAAAAAGATAAGCAAACTATAACAAAACCAGTTCAGATTTTGCTTTTGTACTTAGTAAAACAAGAAAATTACAGTATACAAACAGAGTAAACTTGTCTGTCTTCACTGTTCATCTTGCGGAGACATTATAGACACATCTTATTTAAACCATCTCTCCGAATCCTATCTGCAATCTGTATTCTGGATCCAGATTACTAATATAGTAATTATCAATTATAATTTATAATTGATAGTTATCGATAAACCTCTAGCAGCCAGAAATTAGTCTATTTATTTCTCCTAATTTTCTTTTTTTTTCACACAATTTCGATTTACTTTCTAGTATTAAATTATTACATATCAGATAAAAAAACTGAGTTTTACCACAAATAAAAATTTTCTATTCCATTTATCTTTGCAACCTGATAGTGGAATCAAACCAGAATTTAAAATATCAATGGTCTACCTCATCATGTTTCATAGATTTATGGATTAGAAAATTAGATTATTTCAAAAAATCAGTTCCTTAAGCAAAATTATTGATTCAGTCTTTAGCTATTTTGTTTATGGTATAGCAACGAGTACAACAAACTGTCAAAACCACCTTTCAGAAATATGAGAATACAAGCACAGGGACATGTTCGCGTAATTTCAAATATGAAATTCAAGGGAATGTTTAATTTACCGTCTTATTTGATCAGTTAAAGATTTAAAGGGTACTGTTGTGATTCGGACCTGCCACTCTAAGTATTGCCCTTAAGTTATTTACCAATTAAAGGGAGTGTTCGCGAAATATGAAAGAGGGTATAGGCTTACGTCGAAAAATATTCAATGGGGATTGCTACTAATCTTAATTTAATTCCAAACAAAACTGCATTTAGATATTAATCATCGATTTTTTTTTGATGCATTCGCATATAGTTGATATATAATATTTTTCACTTGTTTCATATACAATGTACTTTAAACGACGATTTTTCAGAGACACCTGGCTATCAAATCGTCGTCCTTTAAAGTACATTTATATGAAACGAGTAAAATATATTATGAAATATAAACTATATACGAATACGTTAAAAAAAATCTAAGATTATAGGTTACAATATCTAAATGAATTACACTAATTTTTTTACGATCCGAAAAAAAATCAATGTCCGTTTTCCACTTTTTTCATAAACCCTACTTATCAATAGTCGGCAATGTTTTAACTAACAAAGTTCCCCAAAGAAACAAAGAAAAGTTCGTTAAATAACAAAAAGGTGTAAAAAATTGAAGAAATCGTGGGTTGGTGGTATAGTTGTTAAAAGGCAGTAAAAAAATATTATAATGAAATTCTGGCACAAGAGATCTGATTTATGTTCAAGTAATCCCCCCGAGGAGAGAGAGCCCACATAGAGAGAGAAGACCGGAGCCTACACTAAGGGAAGTGCTGAGAACTCTTTAGTCTTTCAGTACATTGCAGTACCTGGAGATATAGAGAACTGATTTTCTCAGTAACTATAGATATACTCAGAGAATTGTTCTTCATAGTTACCATAGAGATATAGAACTGTTCTTCATAGTTACTATAGAGTTATATAGAACTGTTCTTCCTAGTAACTATAGATATACATAGAGAACCGTTCTTCATAGTTACTATAGAGATATAAAGAACTGTTCTTTTTATTAACCATAGAGATATATAGAGAACTGATCTTCTCAGTACATATAAAGATATATAGATAACTTATCTTCATAGTAACTACTAACAATAATAAATGTAAAGAAGATAGATATGTAGAGAAATGTTCTTCTTAACTATAAAGGTATACAATAAACTCTTCTTCTTAGTAACTATATAAATATATAGAGAACTGTTATTCTTCACTATAAAGGTATACAATAAACTGTTCTTCTCAGTAACTATAGAGATATACAGACAACTGTTCTTTTTAGTAACCATAGATATACAGACAACTGTTCTTTTTAGTAACCATAGATATACAGACAACTGTTCTTTTTAGTAACTATAGATACAAAGACAACTGTTCTTCTCAGTAACTATAGAGATATGTAGAAAACTGTTCTTCTCATTACATATAGAGATATATGGAGAACCCCTTATCAATTCTAACTTTTTCAACAGAAAACGTTTTTTAGAAAATAGTTTGCATCATTCAAGATTAAACATTTCGTTTGCAAAAAGTCATTATTGTTGGTAAAACTACATATTTGAGAAAAGAGACTGATGTCACCGGAACTTTTGAAAAACTATAGATTTTACGTAATTCTAGGGTTGAATTCAGATTCTCTTCAATTAATACAAATGATTTTCTTTTTCTCTTGATTTAAAATTCTAATTCAATTTGAATTCAATTCAAAAATGATTGTAAAGGTTTCAATTACTCTAATCTGTTCAAACTTGGTTTTTCTTTACTTTTCCTAGGTAGAGCAAGAAACGGCATCTATAAAACTAAATATTATTCCATAATCTTCAATTTCCGTATCTGGTTTCAAAACTATGTGAGTTGATATATGCGGTGAACTCAATTTTGCTGGAAAGAAAAAAATTGTCCAAAACTGGTTAAAACTGACGCCGAAAAACAAGCACTTTAAAATCTTGACATTTTTCCGAAAAATAAAATACGATTAATATATCCAACTAATTTCTAATCCATTATTATTTCTTACTTTCGATCATTATTTGCACTTTTTTCTTTTTTCTTTTCTGTCTCCAAAAGAAGAGAAAAAAGGAAACAATAAGAAATCAGTGGAATTAAAGAAACAGAAACCCGGAAAGATTCTCTTAATTTAAATTTGATTTTGGTCTTTTCCCTCGTTTTATTCCTTTTAATTCTATTTTTTCTCTTTCGTTCTTTCTTTCTTTCTTTCTTTTTTTTTTTTTTTTTTCTTTAATCATTCTTTATCTTTCTTTCTTTCTTTCTTTCTTTCACTTTACAAATCATCATTGACTAAAATAGAAACTAGTCCCTTTGTTGGAAAAAGTATAGTTATATTATTCATTACTCAAAGTTTTGTCATGAAAATATCCAGAAGTTTTTAATTGTTTAATTTTTGTTATGGTTGGTAATCTGTTAGCAGTATGAAGTGGCTTTGTTAAAAAAAGTTTAAGTGGCTTTATAACAAAAAAGATACAGACAACGTTCAATTTCTAATACCTATATCTTTGCAACCTGATGGTTTAAACCTATTATATTTTAAATTTTCATTATTGGATTGACAAGAATTCATCTTTTGAAATATGTAAGGTTCTACAATATTGGGTTGCAAAGATCTAGGGATTAGAAAATCAGAGTTTGTGACAAAGACTCAATTCCTGTGAGAATCTTACATCAACGAGCTGTAACAAAATTTCATTATTTATATACATTAATGATTTTGTAATCTCATAATTACATCGTAAAATGTGCCTTATATATAATGAGAAAACAGATCCTTAGAATTGGAATTTTTATTAAATTCCAAAGTAAATGAGAAAATAGAATTAATCTGTACCTCTCACGTCAGTGATGCGAGTAAAGAAAAATATCTTCTCTTAAAGGGACTGTTAATGTAATTTAAAGGGACTGTTAATGTAATTTAAAGGGACTGTTAATGTAATTTAAAGGGACTGTTAATGTAATTTAAGTCTCCCTCCATGTAAAGTTGACAATGTCCAGTTAATAATGGCACCCTTAAAATACTATGTCTGATCAAGTATGAATAAAATATTTTTTTTATTTAAAAAATTAATTCTTTTTAACTGTGGATTTTCTACAAAAAGTGACTTTCGCATTTACACTGCAGTAAACACATAGGAATTATATAAGAATTTAACACTTTTAAATCAATCAATAAATTGTTGTGAATCGGCACTGCCAGCTTTTGCATTAAGAGTCATTTGAATTAAAATTACAGCCCCTTCAATAATGAAATAGAACATGATATTGATTCTCTCAAAAAATATAACCTATATTTCCCTTTTTGTGATAAAATTTGATTTACAGTTTTCGAATACCGATTTTTTATAGAAAAAGTTTTGAATTTTTATACCCTATGGTACCCATTGGGTAGCCATGGGTTTCCTGAAGTAATGTCAGCCCATTCGGTCCGGCCATTTGGCCATCTATAGCTGACTGTATATTATATATATATACATATATATATATATATGAGATTTTTGTCGTCGTTAATATATAATTTAAAAAAATAAATTCTTCAATTATTAATATTTGAATTATTCTAGTTACATCTGTACTACTCTTCCTTCTGCCCATATCCTTGACAGTTCTTATAGCTGTCACACTCATTTTCATCTGTCATTCCAGGTAACATTAAATAGTTATTTCAAGGGACCCTTCAATAAAAAAGGTACATACTTTTAAGGTCAGTATGCAAGAAAAATATTTTTTGCGCTTTCTTGAAAATAGATAAATTTTGATAATTTTATTTCTCTTATCCATAAATTCGAATTTCGCTTAAAAAAAGGAGATTTAAAATTTTCAGATAGAAAAAAGGATTCTTTATTGTTTTGCATGAACTGTGTGAGAGGGAACATTTCAGTTTTGGAATAATTTAACTCTTTACCTGGAGGGTCAATTGAATTGAAATCTACTTTCTGCAGTCCCTATAGAAGAATAACACATTTAGCTTAGATTAAAGAAGTCCTTATATTAGACCTCAAGCTATAAAATATCTATGCATACTGTGTAGAACAAGAATCTTAAATGTTTAACACACTAGAATAAAAAGCACACACCAAATCTTTATTTAGAATTTCATTTTCAAGATTTGAGTCAAATCTTTGCAAAGTTTTGTCCCACAGCGCAAATACATCTTATAATTCAGAACTTGTTTTAAAAGAGTATAAAATTCAAAAACTGGTTAGAAATTGGGCAATAAAACGAAAAGAAAATTACATCTCTTCATTTTTACCTAAATTATATTTATGTATTAACACAAATTTTGACGTAAAAAAATGAAATAAACTTTCAGTATGAGTTGTGCATTTCGGTGCTGCTGTCAGTATAGTGGAGCTCATCTAGTGGAGGAAACAAGGGTAATATATAATCAACATCACCTTCTTCAAGATACACAATACAAATAGATATACAAATAAACATAAATAAACAATATCAATAGACAAAAGTCATCATCAGAAGCAGCTGACATACCTCAAATGCGCATATTTAGATGGTCACTGTAAGTGGTGCAAAAATGTTTTTAGAAACGACCCACTCATTTTGAACTTTTAGAAAACGAATAACGATCGTTTTTGAAAATGATCGTTTTTATCAGTGATAATTTTTTATAATATTGTTTTTAAAAAACTATCGTTTTTTCATTGATAAATATGTTAACGATCGTTAACGAAACGACGAACTTTATAAAAACTGTCGTTTTTGAAAAAAAAATTACATTCAACTATATCAAATGTCGCGTTATATGAAGGTAACAAGTTGTGGGGGAGCTAAAACTTCTTGATATTTTCTTCAAAACTTCTCTATGATAAATACCGATGCCCTTCAGGGCGGTTTCCTCTCTCCTCCTCTCTTCGTTAACGATCGTTAACGAAACGGCGAGCTTTATAAAATTTTTTTTCAATCGATCGTTTTGAAAACGAGCGTTTTCAAAAAACGAACTTTTTAATAAAAACGATCGTTTCGTTTTCGTTTTTTGTCGTCGTTTTCATAACAAAACGATCGTTTTTTAACAAAATGAAAACGTTAACATCCCTACCTGCGTCCAATACACGAAAAGTGAATAGATATTATAATAGTAATGTCTTAGACATGATGATGGTAGACATTATCATAGACATTGAATTTGATATTGAAGGCATAAACAGTAGCATATACATATGCATTAACATATGCATAGACGAAAAACGAAGATATCTTTCTAGTTTTTTTATCATACTAGGCATAGGGCGCTTCGCCCACATCTTCTATTTTTAGCTTTAAAATGTTTAGCTCTATCTATCTAAAGCATTTTCTCTTTGTATACATCATAAAAATATAACAAAAAAGCTCGCGGATTAAAAAAAATTTTCATATATTTTTTTATTTCATGAAAATCTAAATTTTTTTATATTAAAATTTTTTTAAATCTAAATTTTTTTGAGGTGAACATGTGAAGTTCTTGTCATCCTTAAAATTTAGGTCCGATCGGTTTAGCCGTTTTTACGTTTAACAGTTACAAACAAGCAAAGTATATATACAGATAAAGGTTTAAGGAGACTGTTGTAAATTGAGCATCCGACTTTTAAAATAGAATGTTACTTGAAATGGCGACAGCTCCTTTAAATTTGCTTTCTTTAGGAGCACAGAGCGCTAAACGATCCGAAGGAAGTCCTGGTGCTTAAATAGAACAAGATCAACATCAAAGTGAATTCACGCAACGCAAAAAAAACTTTGTAAAAAAAGTTGATTAAAATAACAGTGAAACAGAAATTCTTTCATCTGATAAATGAATATTGAGAATGTAATGTGATTAAAGTAAACTAAACCGGGTTTTATTGGTATAATTTTAGGTTTATTTAATTTAGAAAGAAACAGACCTTAAAAAATCTTTCATTTTCTATTTAATTTTCGAAACCTGGTTTGGTTAACTTTCATTGTAATAAGTTTCCCTCTCTCATTTGTTAAGATTGTGTAAAAGAAGATAGTGATACACACCAAGAAATATATAGACCAGGAACAGCCATATCTCATGCGTCAAATCCGTGTACTGCAGTGGGAGGAGATTAAAACAAAGAATTCAGGGGCAACGCATCATTTTTGAGGGAAAAGGCCCAATGGGTGGAATAAAAAGAAGAAAGCCAAAAATCATATGTATTCGCTCTAACTTGATTTTTTTTTTTGGACTGTAATATCACATCAGAGCTTTAGTCCTTTCCCGTCAACTTCTGTGGTTTGTTTACATTCCTCCCACAGTGTACAGTACATAATATGCGTATATCTGAGTTGGGCGTTCCTGTATATAGTTCCTTGATACACGCGAACTCTTTACGGAGATAGATTTTGTTTACACAGTTAACTGTGACGTATTTGGATTACTATAAACTTTTTGATCAAAACAATAAAAAATTGTAAACAAACTTGCTTAATCAGGTTTGGAAGACAGTCCTGAGAAGTCCAAATACGTTGCAGTAAAATGTACACAAACCGTATCCACCATATCTTTAGTTTACAAACCTTGGAGGAAAATTCCATATCTCTGTTTACTAAAAAAGTGTACTGTAGTTTCTGGGAATAATGTAAACAAACATAGTGCAGGTCACTGTTCAGACCATTGAGTAATAAAACGAAGAGGTGAAGCTTAGCTCAGATGTACACAACCGACCTGTCTATTAATTAATTAATAGATTGGTCGGTTGTGTACATCACGATATGTTTACGTATCTAACGTTGTACACTTGTATATAGAGCGATCGTATTTCTAAGGAGTGGTTTAATGTAGATATTTGAATATTAGTATTGCTAATTAGATAGACACTTAATATGGATTGTAAACACAGGATTGTATACTGCAGTACATTCAAGTTCAGTTGTTTGTTATTTCAATACAAGCATGTCTAAATATTGCATCGTGAAAAACCATCAGATCAGAACCATATATATAGTTTAGTTCAACAATCAGATCAGAACCCTATATATAGTTCAACCATCAGATCAGAACTCTATATATAGTTCAACCATCAGATCAGAACCCTATATATAGTTCAACCATCAGATCAGAACCCTATATATAGTTCAACCATCAGATTGTCATCATCCTTTGTGGGTAATGCATATATAATGTATACGAAGTCTACACTAGTTAGTGGATATAAATGAAACAATGAAATAATACTTGAGATTTATTTACAAGATACAATATGTAATAAATAAGGGGTTTAAATGCCCATGATCTCAGTCTGTCCCGGGATAATTTCAGATCCCGAGAATAATTAAACAGCTCACAGAATGTACATTGTACAGTAAACAAACTGGAAATAAACGTTTCAAATTATTTTTTAAAAAAAATTGTCCGACAAGTACAAATTGAATCCTCATTTATCTGGAAGTGCAGTATAGTGCGATTGTAAACTATGTAAATATTGAAAAATACATAATCTATCAATATTGTGCAGCTGAAGTTGAAAAAATATAAAACTAAAAATGTTTCAATCAATTATTTTTCATATATTCCATGAAACCTGCCAATATATTACTGGACAAACAAAGTTGAAATCAGGTTCATTGAAAACTAGGGAAAAAAGAAGTTACAACATTTTTATTAGAGTTTATTACATGGTGTCATTTTTAGCGTCATTTTTGCTGTATCCAATATACCTAGAAAACCTCATTTTTACTGAAAGGCAATCTATCTTTATTAAAAACATCCCCCATTACATTATGTGGGGCGAGGTTAGGCCTTTTGATATAAGAGGGGCTGAGCACTGCGGCTAGGTCAGATTAGGAAACATTTTCGCATAGAAAAAAGCTTTGCATCAAAAATGGCATATAGCAGAAATGACGGTATAGCGAAATAGAAAAATTGTCGTAGCGCCAAAAAGAAAGGAATACTGGTCATTCAAAAAGTAGATGGGGGTTATCATTATTATTTTATAAAAGAAAAAATACAGTTTATTGAACGATGTTAAAGCAAGTTTGTGTTAGATTTAGATCAAAAGTTTATCAAGGCTAAAAGTTGTGTTACAGGATGTAGATATGTATTATTTTGTAAATTGTAAAACATTTCTTTAAAATTAACACAATGAAGGGTAATCTACAAAATTTGGTTTGATAAAAATTTGAATTTGACTCTGTTGTCGATTAAAAGTTTTATATGCTTGAAAGAAAAAAACAAACTTTAATTCTAAGTGGTGGATATTTCGATAATTAAACCGTTATTTTTTCAAAATTGTTTGATTAATTTGTTGTAACTTATTTATGGAATTCACTTTATATCATCACTTTTTCACAATTCACATTAAATTCTTTTCTTAACAGAATTCGTTTTCTTGAAACCGTTTTTTAGGAGAATTTTTCTTAAGAAATCAGTCCTCGGTCCAGGTTCTGTAAATATCAGTCCTCGGACCAGATTCTGTAAATATCAGACCTCGGTCCAGGTTCTGTAAATATCAGTCCTCGTTCCAGGTTCTGTAAACAAAAATAACTATTAAATTATGGTTACACTGAGCAAGGAAACAATGGTGAGGATAAAATACAAAGAACCTGGTAAATAAACAAAGCTTAATGTAAACGTAATTTCCAGTTTTAGTGTGGGATGCAGGACTATTCAACGATACAATTCAAAGGTTTTTCTTATTTAGAATGAATGGTTTCTCTATAAAATTATAACTTGCTGATTTCTTGTTGCAGAAACAAGAAGGAAATAGAAAAACGACAATATCTTCCACATTAGTGATCTAATCAAATTTGAAAGGTAACCGTTGTAAATCGGACAATGCGGCCACTCTTTAATAGAAGTTTATTTCAAATTACGTCTGCATTACCTTTCAGAATCAGAAAATCGAATAACCAGTTGTTTACCCTATACAGGCTGGAGGGTCTGAATCTATGTATTTTATAGCCGGGGGGGGGGGGGGCGTTTGGCGCCCTCCCCCCTAAAAAAAGACTTAGAGAATAGTTATAAGGTTGAAATGCATGTTCATAGCCAAATTTTTCATGGCCAGCTCAAAAAAAAATAAGACCGATAACTTTAATAATTTTGGTGCCTAAAAAAGTGCTAAAAAAATGAGAAAAAAACTATTTTTTTGTTTAAAACAAATATCAAAGTGCGACACATGTTTCTACATGCATTTTTCAAGGGCTTTTCAAAAATATAGATTTTAGATCTGTAAATATAGTCACAAAAAAGCTATTTTAGATTTTTTTTCACACACCGGACTTTTTTCCGCCTTGTACCCTAACCTATAAATTTCACAAAAATCCTTTAAATTACTATTCATTAAAAGTCACAAAATTTCATTGTGATAGTGTCAAAAATGAGAGTGCTAGGACAAAAAGACGACAGCCTCTTTAAGGTTAAACAATCCTTTTGAAAATACTATTTCAATCTTCATAAAACCATAGTGACCTTACAGTTTCCTTTTTTGCGTGTATATGTATCAATTTAAGAAGTAGAAAATGAAAAATTATAATACAAAACTATCTTTATTAAAAATATTTCGAACTAAAAAATTGATATTTACAAAATTGTCTTAGCCTAAATTCTCGCCACCTGGTTCCGATACCGGGTTTATTAATGCGACCCATGGCCGAATTTAAAGAATTTGAGCGGCGGTTTAAATTTAAGCCGCGGTTTAAATATGGTTGGTTCCACTTAAAATTGTATCAAATGTTTCAAGATTTAAACCGGCGCTTAATTTAAACCGGGTTTTGGCGGATTTAAACCGCGGCTCAAATTCTTTAAATTCCATCTCCAGTCTTAAATTTCAGGCTTTGGTTTAATACCAACCTGTGTATATCCTTATTGTCTTTTGAAAGCACAGCGTGGGAAGAGTTTGTTTGATATCTGAGTTCCAGCCGACCATCTTCTCTCCGTACTCAGCCTTGTACTTCTAGATGTACTCCAGGTTCCAGTCTTCTCATCATAGAACTCAATAGTACTCAGAGCTTTTATTCCGTCCCAACCTCCGATAACTAAACGTTTAAAATAGTAAATATTACAAAGTCAATCTTTGCCTGGAAATCCGACCTTTTCGTTTCAACGTCAACAAATTCAACTTTTATTAAAGAGCCAAGAATATTCCCGTGGTTCTAGTGAATACATCCCGCGCTTGGTCGTAAATTACGATTTTAGTTATTTTCCCATATTAAAGTGAACCCACTTAACTAAGAATCTCAAAACCAAGCTAAGAACATTTTCCTGTGTCAACAAACTCAACTTTTTAGAAACAAGCTGAAAATATTTCCTTTATAATAATCCTCTTCAAATCTAATCCTAGCTAAAAATCTGTAATCCTACCTGCTTTAATCCTCATTCAATTACAATTAAGAATACCTTTAATCTACTTTTGCTACTCCTCTTTCTAATTAATTCCAACTAATATACCTTTAATCCTGCATTCTCTAATCCTCTTGAAATCTAACCCTATCTAAGAATACCTGCACTTCTACCTGCTTTAATTCTCATTTAATCCTATCTAATAATACCTGTAATCCTGCCTCCAATAGTTCCTACACTAGGTCTACCCCATCTAGCAGTATTTATATCCGGTATTTTCTCCCACTCCGCCCTGGATCCAAACCCTAGAAATCTGACATCGCTCAACCTTGTCCCACCTTAGAAACAAGCCATTAACAAAAATTGTGTTCTTATTTTTCTTTAAAAAATGTTGTTTCTTCATTTTGCTTTATGTCTGATTTAAGGTAACATAAGGCACTGGAACAAGAGTATCCTTGAACGAAACTCCCAAGTTTCCTTTTTGGGGATTAAACATTTGTGCAGATTTTGACTTAAGAGATAAGGATATAATCAGGGAATATAAGGGAACCAATTGAAATGATAGTTCGTAACGAATAAATTGACAGCTACAGTGATCACCAGAAGTCTGTGGAATAGGAAAACGACAATTAAAGCAAAACTGAAATGCATTTGAAGTTGTTACAAAGAAAATAGCTTTACATAATAAGTTATAAAATCGATTGTTAAGTGAAAAGGATCTGTTTACACTACACCTTGGCAGTGCCTCACATTCATTGGACTATTTTAAGTAATAATTTGAGTCTTCCTATTCCAGATTTTTCTGGTTATCACTGTACAAAATTGCCTAACCCCATTCATGAAACCGGGTCTCTAATACTGGGCTTCATGACGTTACTCTGTTTTCAGTTTGGGCTCTGTGAAATAGTTGTTAATTGTACACAGTATACATACAGACAATAGAATGTAAACGGGAAAGTAAATCAGATAAATTATCTTCTTCTAGTAGTATTACTGTGAAGGCAATTGTTTAAATCTCTAGTTTGAGTTTTTGAATGGTTTTGTTTCCTGAATCTCCTCCTACCACTAGAACCCCCTGTCTACCGTTCAGTTCTACCAGAGCACAACCATGCTGAGCTCGTAATGGATTCAGCTCAGGAAGGTCAACCCATACACCTGGACAGAACATAGGTAGTTTACCTGGGGTCAAGAAATTATCAAAATTACAAGATTTTCAAAGAACGAACTTTTAGCCAATTAAAATTCATACAGAAATTCTACATTTCAATCGGAAGTTCCGTATACATCAGTAAATGTACTATAAACTGTATATATTATGCAATCTTTGAACTAAACCTAAAGCTATGTAACCTCCAATCCTATAATTGTGTCTATATCCAATCTCTGAACTAAACCCAGAGCTCTGTATCCTCCAATACTATACCTGTATCTATATCCAATCTCTGAACTGAACCCAGAGCTCTGTATCCTCCAATACTATACCTGTATCTATATCCAATCTCTGGACTGAACGCAGAGCTCTGTATCCTCCAATACTATACCTGTATCTATATCCAATCTGGACTGAACCCAGACCTCTGTATCCTCAAATACTATACCTGTATCTATATCCAATCTCTGGACTGAACCCAGAGCTCTGTATCCTCCAATACTATACCTGTATCTATATCCAATCTCTGGACTGAACCCAGAGCTCCGTATCCTCCTGTAACTATGATAGATCCATTCCCTAATCCTACAGCACAGTGAGATGCTCTTGCAGAGGGTAGAGGGGGACCAGCAATCCAACTAATTTTATAGATAAGAAATTAATATATAAGATCAAAGTTAAGCGTATCAAAATTGTAATTGTGTAACAAATGTTAGCGCTACTAATTACGGATTTGTAATTATTTACAACTACTTTACAGGGAAGTTAAGGAAATTATACTTTACCAAGGGTTCCAAGACCAATTTTGGACGATGGAAGAGCCGTGGTTAAATGTGATTTTTAATTTCCCGAAACAGTAGTTGTATACAATTGTATCGTCTTTTGAGATGCAAATGCGCGAATTTTACCTAATTGTTTTAAGGGAAGTAACTTAACGTCCCTCTGTTTGGGGAGGGGGGGGGGATCATAGGTATGTAATGTTGATCAAAAGGCAGTAAAAAAATATAAAATTAATCATTTTCTTATTTAAAACTAATAACTGCTCCACTTTACAGAAATCATGAGTTTTTCAATTAAAAATTGTAGATTCCTGGTATTTTATCCAGGTAATTATTAAAAAAAAAACCAACTTAAAAAATATTGGCCTTAACTACTCGATATTTTGTATTATTATTTTTATTTAATGATTACCTGTCAGTTTGTGGTTGATACAGCTCAACACTAGCTGTATACCCTGAAAGGGGTCCAAGTGACCCTCCTGTTACAAACAGCTTTCCTCCTTCAGCTGCCCAAGCAGCAGCATCTCTAGGTACAGACAAGGAGCTGATCCGGCCCCACTCTGGGTTAGCATCAGGAGGAGGGAACTCGAGCTTCCAACAATCAGTTTTAGGATCACCTAAAATTAAGGAAACACAGGGTTACAAACAGAAAATAAAACTTTGAAGACGACTGTAAAGAATTAATTCCAACATTGCTCATTACATCAGCTGCAGCGCATTATTCTTTTTCTGTGCTAAACCTTGTTGTATTTTGTTTATGAAAAAATGTATCCCTAACCGCGTCATTCTCTGTGGGTTCATACAGATCAAAATTTAATCACCACAATTCTTTCATTTGATTAATTTCACGGAACCGTAAAAATATGTCTGAAAAACAAGACTATTTGAAGAAAAAAATTAATTTTTATTTTGTGAAAATAATGAATGAATATCCAACCTAATATATTAATCCCTCCACAGACCACAACAGTTTCGTTGTCCAAGGATGCCGCAACGTTTTTCCAGCGCATCGCCGGCAGGGATGGAACGGCATTTCGGCAGTTTCCACCTAAAAAATTTAACCAAGACGGCCTATAGATCTTTTCCATGTTCTTCCATTATTAACAATAACAGATTGAATACTATATGTCGTCTTTTCAAGATTAAGAGGTTTTTCGTTCACAATAAGCAGAAGCCCAAAGGAGTTACGCGCATGCTCTCTCTCTGTCTTATCGCTCAACGCAGCATTAGGTTTAGAAAATGACATTTTATCAATTCTATCGTTGTCGATCCTAAGTTTTGGGTTAACTGTATCAAAATTTAATTCTGTATAACATTGTGTCTGTAATATCGAATACCGACACTTCTCGAATATTTAGTAAGAATTTGAAAACATTATTTTTACTTGTTTTTTAGAAAGACATGATTCAGTGTTAAGAATAATTGTTGAGAAAATAAATTAACTCAAATTTTGTTAAAATACTTTGAAAACTTTTCTCATATTCTAAATAAATGTTCGATATTTTGAAATGCTTATGATCATTCTATATTTCTTAACGGGAGAGACCGGCTAGACATGGTAGTTGAACTGAGAGTGATGTATTTAAGAAAGATTTTGCAGAATTTATTTGAGACCCTATAGACGTGTTTACGGTGTATAAATGTTCAGCAAGAGTGCAAATTAATTTTTTAAAATTTCTTCACAAGTTTCTATTGAGAAATATGTTTCTAAACAACTAATAAGTTTGCTGTAGAATTTTTGTAACATTTTTCATTTTGTTTTGAATAATTTTTCAAAAACCGATTCTCAAAATCACCCCTTCGGCTCCAGGAGGCTTTTAAATATTGAATTTGCGCTCTTGCAGAACAATTTTGCACCCTAATTAAAAGTCTCAAATGAATCCTGAAATATTTCTGTATACAATACTGCACTTGTATTTCAAATACCATGTCTAGACGGTCTCTCCCTTTAGCAATTGTGTTATTTTAAATGAAAATATTGAGTGCCTTAGATTTGAGAATCCTGAATGGTGTAAAAAATCTGGCTGATATTTCATGCATAATAGAACTGTAAAGAGCTTGAACCTTTGATCCACATCAAAATCATAAATTTGAACTTTGGACTTCATTCAAGTAATTGAATCTATTTGAGAAGATTTATACTTTTAACAATAAAAATATTCCCAAACAAATTGACAGAAAGAAATTGACTCTTTGCAACAAACTCTGATTTTCTAATCATTCATTCTGTGTAAACCATGATGTTGTAAACCTTAGACATTTCAAACTATGAATTCTCTCTGATCAAATAATATAAGTTTGAAATATCAAAGGATTACACCATCAGGTTGAACAGATATAGGGATTTAAAAATCTAAAGAACTTGAGTCTTTGCCTCAAACTCTGAATTTCTAACCCCTATGTCTTTGCAATCCAATATTGTGTATACCCGAGATATTTCAAACTATGAATAATGTTAGGTCAAATAACCTAGGTTTAAAATATCAACGGGTTACACATGGCAGGGAATAAAAATAATTAGTAAGTATTGTTATATCACAAAATTTCAAGTAAAGTAAAAGTATTATGAAAGTTTTTTTATATACGAATCTCTATATAAAAACAGGAGCTAAAAACCCACATTATATGTATATTTAATCGAATTATTTTTGTAAAGTACAAAAATATATTTTTCTGTGTTATAACTATTTTATCCGATCTGGTCTCATTGAGAAATCATCAAATATAACCAGGAAAGATAGAACCCTTCAACTAATAACTAAGACTTCAACCTTAAAGTCAACATTTAAAAATTAGAAAAGGAAAATAAAAAAATATAATTTTTGGTGGTTTCAATTAATTTGTCTTGAAAACTAAACCTAGAGACAGAAAGATTTAAAGGACTAGTCTTCTAAGCATGAACATTTATCACAAATTCATCTTTTTTATCCCTATCTTTGCAACCTGATGTCTTTTCATAATAAAAAGTATAAATTCTGTTAGTTGAGTTCCATTCAATAATTACTCAAATACACATAAATTTTGGGAACCCAGCTTTGGTAGGAAAATTGCTTTCTTTACTAAAATCAACCCACTGAATCTATCATGTCTAAACAAGTAAAAAAATACCGTTGTTCTAACCAGTTCTCCAGTCAAGGGGTTCCTGATTTATGATCGGATATACTAACAAATTAACAAACAGACAAACAAAAATTACAAATGTTTACCTGAAGTGATTAGTTCAACTGAACTAAGAACTCCGTAAGTATCAGATCTTCCTCCGACTACAAGCATACTTCCAGGTTTCACACACACTAGTTCCTAAACCAAACCTTTCAGTCATAAAACCTTTCATTTACCCACCCTTTCATTTATCCAACCTATCATTTACCCACCCTTTCATTTATCCAACCTTTCATTTACCCACCCTTTCATTTATCCAACCTTTCATTTACCCACCCTTTCATTTATCCAACCTATCATTTACCCACCCTTTCATTTATCCAACCTATCATTTACCCACCCTTTCATTTATCCAACCTATCATTTACCCACCCTTTCATTTATCCAACCTATCATTTACCCACCCTTTCATTTATCCAACCTTTCATTTACCCACCCTTTCATTTATCCAAGCTATCATTTACCCACTCTTTCATTTATCCAACCTATCATTTACCCACTCTTTCATTTATCCAACCTATCATTTACCCACCCTTTCATTTATCCAACCTATCATTTACCCACCCTTTCATTTATCCAACCTATCATTTACCCACTCTTTCATTTATTCAACCTATCATTTACCCAACCTTTCATTTATCTAACCTATTATTTATCCAACCTATCATTTATCCAACCTATCATTTACCCACCCTTTCATTTATCCAACCTATCATTTATCCAACCTATTATTTATCCAACTTATCATTTATCCAACCTATCCTTTACCCATCCTTTCATTTATCCAACCTATTATTTATCTAACCTATCATTTATCCAACCTATTATTTATCCAACTTATCATTTATCCAACCTATCCTTTACCCACCCTTTCATTTATCCAACCTATTATTTACCCACCCTTTCATTTATCCAACCTATCATTTACCCACCCTTTCATTTATCCAACCTATTATTTATCTAACCTATCATTTATCCAACCTATTATTTGTCCAACCTATCATTTATCCAACCTATTATTTATCCAACTTATCATTTATCCAACCTAGTTTCAAGTTTCCTAGTTTTAAGAAAACAAGATTTTAATAAAAGTTGGACGGATTTAAGGATATTCCATCACTCTTTTATATTTTAGAATAATCATTGTATATTCTAAAAGAAGTTAAATGAAGGGCCAAAATTAAAGAATCAATTAATCGCATTACCCAATAATGTTAACTAACCTGCAAGGATCTGTTAACGTAATTACCCCAATAATGTTAACTAACCTGCAAGGATCTGTTAACGTAATTACCCCAATAATGTTAACTAACCTGCAAGGATCTGTTAACGTAATTACCCCAATAATGTTAACTGTTAACGTAATTACCCCAATAATGTTAACTAACCTTCAAGGATCTGTTAACGTAATTACCCCAATAATGTTAACTACCCTTCAAGGATCTGTTAACGCAATTACCCCAATAATGTTAACAACCCTTCAAATAGAAGTTATCATAATTGAACACTTTTCTCAAAGTTACCGTCAAGAACTTTATAATGTCGGGCCATTTGAAATTACAACGACAATCCAATTAAAAAGTATTTGTTGACTTGAAATTAAAGAATATATTGACTTGAAGTTAAAGAATATAGTGGTTTGAAAAGATGAATATATTAAAGCTAACAAGAAATAATCAATTAACCAGAATTCCCTGATGTAAAAAATACTCTGTGTGCAGCTTTTCTGTCAAAATAATTATATAATAAAATATTTTCTATTTGATAAAAAGTAGTTTGGTTCCTTGCTTAGCACTCCGTCATTGCAAAGTGCTTCTCTAGCGTCTAATGATACAAAACCTCGGTGACAATCTGTAAAGAAATAAATCAGCTTTTGTAGAACAAAGGAACTGTTTACTCGCCGCAAACAAGAATTTTCTGTTCCATATATCTTTGAAACCTGACAGTGTGAACATTTTTCAAACTTTGGCTATTTGATGTAGCATAGCTCATAATTTGAGGCAAGTGTTCACTTCCTAGTAATGCATGTTCATGAATTAGGTTTTCATTTAAGCCTATTCCATGTAAGTATTAAACTGTAATTAAAAACAGGAATAAGAAAAATCTAAATCAATCAAACTTTTCCAAACTAATAAATAATTTATATTTTCAGCTGATCTAAAGCCTTGCCTAGTTGACAGCGGTTTCCTGAGTTGACAAAGAATTTACCCCTGTTAACAGGGCTGTCAGGACACGTTACGTTGCCGTCAGCTGGCCACGGAGTTACAATACATCCTAGAAATAAACATCCTAGAAGCGCCCGGTGAATTAAAAAAAATTAAATAAAAAATTTCTAATATTGAAAAAAACATTGAAGTTATTTTTTTTCCCCAAAGTTTTTTATATAATTCCTATGTTACACCCATGGGTTCCTTAAAATAATTTCAGCCAGATTAATCCAGCTGTCTGGTCAGCTATAGCTAATATGTATACAAATAAACAAATATGTAAATAGATATATGAGCGAAGAGCAACAATGACAACAGTGAGAACTAGAAAACTGTAGAACAGGAAGACAACATTAAAGCAATACTGAAGTGCATTTGATGTTGATGCAAAGCAAATAGCTTTACTAGAAAATTTATTAAATAACTTATCATGTGAAATGAGTCTATTTACACTTCGCAATGCTGTACCTCATGTTCATTGGACCTTTAAAAGCCATAAATTGAGTCTAAAATTCGACTTCCAATTCCAGAGTTTTCTGGTTGTCTCTGTAGTTTTACAGGTTTTGATTTAAATATTTTATTTATTATTGAACACGTTGCTGGGCTTAAAAATCTCGATAAAATACCGCCTGGATACACACAAAGAGAATAGAATAAATATTAGAGAGGAATTTAGAGAATCTCTCGTTATGAATTTTGTCAGTCCCTTTCAGCCTAAAAGGGAGTTCAAAGTGTACAAATCATGTAAGCGTTCACAAATTATATGCAGTAGAGTACATTAATATGTTCCCTAGACTATCCATTTCAATTTTTAAATTTTTAAAGCTGTTAAATAAACTTTACAATGAATTAGGTGAATAAAAAACATCAATTGATTTATAGTTATAACGGAAAATCATCGTTTGTAAAGTGAAATGCATAGAGTCTATGTGAAATGATCATTGGTCAATTATAAATCAGCCTATTTCATAATTTGGTTTTCTTTTAATATTAATTTTAGATTTTCTATAAAATGATATTCCAGGGCCCAAAAGGTTATATGGCATAAATATGTAAAGTATACCTGGCACCTGCAGTATGGAAACAGTACAACAAAATGGCCGTTTTACACTTTTTTCTAGTAAATTCCCCTCTAATTTATATTCTATTCTCTTTGGAAACACATCAACCTCCCTTTAAACCCTCCCCGTCCTTTAACAGTGGTATCAGTCACTATCTATCTATCTTAATCTTATCTGGAAGAGTATTCATATATGTACACATGGGGGGGGGGGGCGGGGGCCCAAAGTTATTATTTTAATTCAGACCAAAAATCTTTTCCGGTTTAAACTTACTTTTAAGCTCTTTTTGGTTTGGTTGCCGGAGTGCCGGAGGAGGAGGAGTATCCTGGTGCTCCTGCCTAATCTTGTCAAGGAGCTCCTTCTGTCTCTTCAACTCCTCCTGCTGGCGAGCCAACTTCTCCTTCTCAGCTTCTATCTTCTCCCTCTCCTCCTGAACCCAACACAGGATAAATATTATTCATTTAAACCATAATATCCTGAAGGATTATAAGATTAAAGATTAAAGGGACTGTAAGCGAAATTTCAAGTGACTCTCCATGCAAAGGCCAAATTTACACGGTGCCCTTATAAGCTTTGTTTAGTCAAGTATGAGTTACAAATTAATGTTTATAATTTTAAAACTTATTTTTTTAAATTGTGGTTGCTGTACAAAAGTGCATTAATTGCGCATATCAATTGTAGGGAAAACATATTTATTATCAGAACTAAATACGCTAGTGACCAGTATAACTTCTGGAGCTTAGCAAGGAGAAAATAACACAAACTTATTCCGTCCAATAAAAAATTTTTGTTTGTTTAGATACATTTTAAATTTTTTAAATTCATTTTTAAATTATTTTTTTTTGCAAATTGTTCTTAATTGCTTTGAAGCTAAGCCATATTTCTATGGACTCGTTATTTTTAAAAATCATATTTATTATTTGTTCCTTAAGATGAATTTCTCTAAGAAGCTGTTGTTCCTTTAATCCTTGAATTTCTCTCTCCCTCTCCTCTGTAATTAATCTTCTCTTCTCCTCCTCCTCTTCCCTCTGCCTATGAATATCCTTCTGTTTGAGAAGGCGTTCCCTCTCATCCTTGATCAACCTATCTCGCTCCTCCTGCAGGATTCTCAGCTCTTCTAAACTCTGTCTCCTAGTCTCCTCTCGTATCCGGATATTCTCTAGTTCTTCCTCTTCCTGCTTCTTCTTGGCTTCTATCTCCTTTCTTAGTTTATCCCGTTCTTCTCCTAACCTTCTATCCCGCTCCGCCTGTATCTCTTTCAGGCGTAGTAATTCCTCTTTTCTCTCATTTTCTCTTTCTTTTGATCGTTCTAACTCTTCTTTATCCTCTTTAGCTTTTGCTTCGTCTAAGAGCTCTTTTTCCTTTTCTGCAAGGTTTGCTTCTTCCAACTTTCTTTCTTCTTCCTCCTGTTTCTTTTTTTGGGATTCTTCAAATTCTTTGCGGATTTTGTTCCTTTCTTCAATTCTCTTTTGTTGTATTTCTTCCTGTTCTTTCTTCAGTCTTTCTTCTTCAACTATTCTTTTTCTGTCTTCTTCTTCTTTTTTTCTTCGCTGCTCTTCTAATCCTAGTCGTATCCGTTCTCTTTCTTCTTGTCTTCTTTTTTCTTGTTCTTCTTTAAGTTTTCTATTTCGTTCTTCTTCAGCTGCTTTTAGTCTTTTCTCTTCGTTTTCCTTTTGTCTTTGTGCCTCTTCTTCCTTTCTTATCTTCTGCTCCTGTTCTTCCTTCAATCTTTGCTCTCTCTCTTCTTCCAACTGTTTTCTTCTCTTTTCCTCATATTCCTTTCTTATCTTCTCTCTTTCAGCTTCCAGTCTCTTTTCATTTTCTTCCTCCAACTTTTTTAACTTATTTTCTTCTTCAATAGCTTTTTGTTCCAATAGTTTCTGAATTGCCAGTTCTTCCTCCTTTTCTTTTTCTTTCTTTATACGTTCTTCTTCTACCCTCTTTAGCTCCAGCTCTTTTTTCTCTTCCTCTTCTTTAAGTTGTTTTTCTTTCTTTAACTTTTCTTCTTCATTCTTTCTTTGTTGCTCCGCCAGCAGTCTTCGTCTTTCTCGTTCTTCTTGGAGCTTCTTTGTTTCTTCTTCTTGTTTCTCCCTTAATTGTTCAATCTTCTTTCGTCGTACTTCTTCTTCTTCTTTTTCTTTCCTTTCCTTTTCTTCTTTCTCAAGCTCTTCTCTTGTTTTAGATTCACCTGCGTTTGAAGATTCTGAAATCAGAAAAAAATCAGATTGAAATAAAAATTATAATATTAAAAGTAAAACCTCAAACCTGGCTCAACTCTACCCTTTCCTCGAACCCTTTGTCTGACAATATTTCTGCCTCCAGACTCATCGGAGGAATCCTGAACATTATTTTCTCCGCCAGGTCTTGTTTCTAGCTTCCGTCCTTGATCCCTGGAGGTTCCTTCTGTACTTGAGGATAGCGGGGGTTCAGACTTCCCTCCCTCGTTCTTCCTGGACTCCTCCCTTCGCCGAGCCAACATCTCCTGCTCAACCCTCATCTGCATAGTTCTCCGATCCACTAGACCGGAAGAGGAACTAACTGGCGGAGACGAGGATACTGAACTCTCCGTTGATTCAGATGGAACAGCTGAAATATTAGATAATAAACTATACGCAAGGTAATTAAAAGATAAAGAAACTAAATAATCGCCTAAATCCTCTGTGCTTATCCTAATACCTTTGCAACCTAATATTTAAAATTTTGTCTGTTTTATCCAAGAAAGTTTACATATTTAAGATATGAAAGTAGGAGAAAGCCCATTGCCAATTTTTACTCATCGTTTTTCTTAAATAACTCGAGATGTCTCTTTGACCCACTTTATTATAAAACATTTTATTTACTATTGAATTTGTTGATTTTGGTTTAATAAAAAAATTGCGTTATTAGATGAAGTCAACGTTAGTTTTAAGGGACCTCTTATACCTTTAAATGTTGAGGTATTGACCACATTATTTAATGTGTTTGTGGTAGCAGTTGACGTTTGATTCTTAGAACTTGTGGTTTTGTTCAGAACTAATGCATTGTCTCCCTCCAGAGTTAGATGTACGTCCCCAAACTGAAACCTGTTAATATTGATAAATTAGAGATTATCTCAATTAAATCTTTTTTATCCAACTACTGCTGTTCTTCAGAAACCATTCAGGACACTTTTGAATATATAGTGTGTGCAAAAGAAATGAAAGAATATGGATCTCAGTGCTTAGGATCCGGATCCGTTGGATCCGCAACACTTTGGCTTTCTGGATTCGGATCCACAAAAAAATAGGATCAACGGATGCAGATACAAGGGAAAAAATATCAAATAAAAAACTGTAAAAAAATGTGGTCCGTAAAAGCCCAAATCTAAACTGTCATAAAGTAGAGATTATAAAAAAATCCCTTATTTCTGAATGATTCAGCAATTTTAAGCATTAAAACAAGCGAAAAAAGAAGAAAAATAATTTGAAAACTCTCATATTTCTTAAAAAATCAGTAAATCTTACAGAAAGGTTTCTGTATCCTGAGGCGAATCCGCAATCTGCATCAAAATGAAATGGTTCCTATAGCACTGAATTTTACCTGCTACCGGAGCTAGATTGTCTAGTCCCGAACTCAGTTTCATTTTCCAATCTAAGCATCAGGGTTCAAACTTTTTATCTAAAACTCTCAATTACAATGTTATTCTATACATCTTAAAAACAAATTGTAAAAGGAAATGGTGTTTGTTGATACTTAAAAACGATCGTTTCGTTTTCTCAAAAAAACGATCGTTTTAAAAACAACCCACTCGTTTTGAACTGTTAGAAAACGATGAACAATCGTTTTTGAAAACGATCATTTTCAGAAAAACGATAAGCGACCGTTTTTTATACGATTGTTTTTAAATAAACGATCGTTAAAAAATAACGATCGTTTTTGAAAAAAAAAATTATCATTTTTACGACGTCCTGAAGATAGTCATAAATGTCGTCTTTAATTAGATTTATAAAATGTTCAGCGGAATTGAATTGAATTGAAGAAATTTGTTCTACTTTTGAGAGTGCAGAGCCGCCATGAGCCCCGCAAAATGGTCAATATGAACTTTAAAACCTAATTCTTTATTTGTTTTATATATGCTTGAAATTTGGCACACAAGAAATTAAAGTACAAGATATTAAAAATATTAGGTTTTGATCATAATTGTTTAGTTAATGAAAGGTCATCCCTAGAAGACTGATTTGATTAGTGATTGGATAAGGTAATGATTGATAATTACGTCACATAAAGATAATTAATTCTACAGATCGAAAGAAGGACTGTAGTCTCCAAATTTACGGTTATTATCAAGAAGGGTAGTCGTTAACGATCGTTAGTCGTTAACGATCGTTAACGAAGGGTAGTCGTTAACGATCGTTAACAAAACGACGAACTTTATAAAAACGATCGTTTTGAAAAACGATCGTTTTTTTAAACGATCGTTTTTTATAACGATCGTTTAAAAAACGACAGTTTTTAAAAAACGAACTTTTTAAAAAAAACGATCGTTTTTAAAAACGATCGTTTCGTTTTTCGATTTTCCTCGACGTTTTCTTAACGAAACGATCGTTTTTTTCAAAAATCAAAACGTTACCAACCCTACCTGAAGGTAACATAGAATAGATTAATCATTGTTGGACGGTTTCAGCCGAGTGTTGGACGGTTTCAGCCGAGTGTTGGACGGTTTCAACCGAATGTTGGACGGTTTTAGCCGAGTGTTGGACGGTTTCAGCCGAATGTTGGACGGTTTCAGCCGAGTGTTGGAAGGTTTCAGCCGAGTGTTAGACGGTTTCAGCCGAGCGTTAGAAAGTTTCAACCGAGCGTTAGAAAGTTTCAACCGAGTGTTAGACGAATCCAGCCGAGTGTTGGACGGTTTTTAAGATTTCAATTTTAGTTATTTCACTCAAAATACTGGGTAGTTTAGTGTGTATACGGTCTAAACAAAGGCTATGGGGCACAGCAGGTTACACAAAGCCTGATGGGGAACAGGCAACGCCGGATATTCATTTGGAAAAACATTTAAATGTTTTCAGTAAAAAATTCAGGTTGAAAAAGTTCAATAATAATAAGTTCGTAAGCATTTTAGATTCAGGATTAGGAGTTTATTCTAAAGTTTGAACCAGAACCTAAAGGGACGATTATCAACCCTAGATCCACTGATTCTGGCCAGGAAGTCCAACTCAAACGGATTAAGATCAACAGAATGCTCATCTTGATCATTTTGTTCCTGGGCTAATGTCGAGGAGACAATTGTAGCTTTAGTTGTTGATGTCGGAGCTTGTGTAGTTGATGTTGGAGCTTGTGTAGTTGGTTGGGTCGATAAAGAAGTTGATGAAATGATTGGTAGAGCTGGTGCTGAGCTAACACCTGAAAAATATAACATTTGTCTTTATCAGTGAAATTAAAACAGTTTCTTTTAGTCTAAGTAATCTAAACTGCTTTAGATGATTTTTGTGTATCGTAAAACCCTGTATCCTCACCTGTTTCTGGAACCCTGTATCCTGAACCCTGATATCTGAACCCTGTATCATAAACCCTGTATTCTGAACCCTGTATTCTGAACCCTCTATCACGAAACCTGTAACCTGAACCCTGTATCCTGAAACCTGTATCCTGAACCCTGTATCCTGAACCCTGTATCCTGAACCCTGTATCCTGAACCCTGTATCCAGAATCCTGCATCCTGAATCCTGTATCCTGAACCCTTTATCCTGAACCCTGTATCCTGAATCCTGTATCCTGAACCCTGTATCCTGAACCCTGTATCCTGAATCCTGTATCCTGAATCCTGTATCCTGAACCCTGTATCCTGAACCCTGTTTCATGAATCCTGTATCCTGAACCCTGTATCCTGAACCCTGTATCCTGAACCCTGTATCCTGAACCCTGTATCCTGAATCCTTTATCCTGAATCCTGTATCCTGAACCCTGTATCCTGAACCCTGTAGCCTGAACCCTGTATCCTGAATCCTGTATCCTGAATTCTGTATCCTGAACCCTGTGTCCTGAAACCTGTATCCTAACCTGTATCTAGAACCCTGTATTCTCACTTTTATCTGGAACCCTGTATCCTTAACTCTGTATCCTCACCCTGTACCCTGAACCCTGTGTTCTCACCTGCTTCTGAAACCCTGTATCCTAAACTCTGAATCTTGAAACATGTGTCATGAACCCTGTATCCTAACCTGTATCTAAAATCCTGTATCCTGAACCCTGTGTCATGAACCTTGTATCCTCACCTGTATCCGGAACCCTGTGAATCCTAACTGTCCCAAAGCGTCCTATCTTCTGAATATCTGTGATGAAACCATCCTTCACTGTATACTTAACCCTGTATACTTAACCCTGTATTCTCTTCGCATCTGAAACCCTGTATTCTCACCTGCATCTGAAACCCTGTATCCTAAACTCTGAATCTTGAACCCTGTTTCCTGAACCCTGTATCCTGAACCCTCTATCCTGAACCCTGTATCCTTAACCTTATATCCTCACCTGTATCCGGAACCCTGTCAATCCTAACAGTCCCAAAGCGTCCTATCCTCTGAATATCTGTGATGAAACCATCCTTCTCCTCGACAGTTCTGCTCAAGTTCAATTTTATCAGAAAATTTAAAAAGTACAGTAATTGAACCAGAAAACTATAGACGAGAAAGACGACGTTAATGCACAAATTATATTTTTTAAAACTTTTTATATAAAAAGTTAAATTTGAAGTTAATTTCTAAACTATTTTTAAGCATAAAATACATCAAATGACTGCATTAATGTCGTCTTACTATTACAAAGCTTTCTGGTTCTCACTGAATAATTTATAACTTTATTTTAAACGGATAAGACATGACTAGTGAGTGATTACATAGTATAGATTCTAAAGTATTTTTGATGAAATGTAAAATTGAATTTATAAATAGATAACATTTAAATGAGTTAGTTATCAGCTGACTAACGTTAATTTAGTTTGTTAAATTCCGGAATCTGTAAGATGAACCAACAAGTTTAAATTACCAAAACAGAGGCCGAATTTGAAGAATTTTAATCCGCCAAAAATCCGTTCGAATTAAGAATTGCCCAAATATCGAAACACTGAACACAATTTCAAATGGAACCAACCATGTTTGAGCCGCGGCTCAAATTCTTTAAATTCGGCCTCTGAAGTAGAAAATCGAAATGAAGGTGCTAACATATGTATTGAATATAATTTTAGATTAATTTCTTATCAGTTAAGTTCGGAAAAAAATAAGATTTTTTTTTCAAAAATACGGGTTTTAGATAATATTGCGAGTAAATCATCAGTAGTATTTTATGCTGCTTTAAGTTTCATTTGAATAATTCTACTCATCATATAGACTCCAAACCCTCTAAAGGGCCAGCAAGCAATATAGGAGATCGCCAGTGATATTTCAACCGTTTAGCGTTTGTTCTCAAGCAAAATTCTTGAAGTTTGAAATATCAGAAGTTTTCAATAATGTAAGTATTAGAAATTATAAATTATGGCAACCGTTGACGCTTTATTTCAAATTCATATCTGTCTAACTAGTGATGCGCAATAACCAGGTTTGGTTAAAAAAAATTAAATTATTTCTCAAAAAATTGAAAAGTTTTACTTTCAAAATTGTTTATTCCTAATATTTGCATTCCTTTCACTATGACAAATTTTAACCCTTATAGAAGATAAATGGCAAATATGAACCAAAAATAAACCAAAAATAAACCAAAAATAAACCAAAAACTATTTTTTTAATCTTTCGTTTTTTGGTAAGCATTCGCTTACATTTTCTCGAAGAAAGGAAATTTTGCATAGTTTTATAAAAGCAAACTTTTACAGTTTTGAAATGTTGAAATCTTCACAAGTTCACAGTATTTGCGTGGTGCCTTTTAAAGGTTTAGAAACCATCAAAGTTCAAGACTAGTATCCTCCCCCCCCCCTCTCTAACTACAGCTACATACACTACTGAATTAATTAACCCTCCTGCACTCTACGACGTGTAATTATATATATGGGTGATTTATTAACTAAGTTTCAGCAAACCACAGGATGCAAACCTATAACAATTAAACCCCAACCGGAATTAAAAGATGTGCAAGTGAAAGAAATTTAGCATTTTTTGGATTGCGCCAATTGATCATTAGAACACTTTAACTTTAATTTCAAGAGTTTTGAGCATTTCGACTTATTCTTAGTTCCATTAGGGTGTCCGCAATGAAAAGTATCCCTAAAATGTTCGTACGATCTGGTAAGTATATTTATAAGTTATAGGTAAGTGAGTGAAAAAACGTTAAATTGAACTATCCTGTGTATGATTGGAGTTGTACTTTGTGTACTTTCTGTACTCTGTAGAACCGGAGGGGGACTGGTTGAACTTGAACGCCCCTGACTAGATTCCCCATTACTATTAGACACCCCTGAACCCCCTGAAAAGAGTGTCCTTGGATTCTCCTGGGGTCGCGTCTTATTCTCAGAACTCATTTTTCTCTGCTCACTGTCGTCTGAAGGATCAACCTTGTCAAAATCTCCGTTGACATAATCAAATGCGTCATAGTCTGCCAGCTTTGCGTCAGGCGTATCATAAATATTGATTTCGTAATCAATATTATATTGTTCACCGCTCACTTCTAACCTTCTCGGCTCTTCAGCGTAGGTTGTCGGTTCTGAAAGAAAATGTTGAAGGAACTGTAAGTTTTATTTCAAGTGATCCTTCATGCAAAGATGGCAATCAAGTTCAGATATCAATGTTTATGATTTTAAACATATTTCTCCACAAAGGTGTTTTCGCATTTCTACTGCAGGAAAGGAATTATCAGAACTAAAAACTTTCAAACTGAAAAAAAGACAATATTTTCAATACTATTGATAGAGTGAATCGGGCATTTTAATCTTTGCATGATGGATCATTGGAAACTACGCTTAAAGTTCCTTAAAGTATACATTTTTTTTATTTTGTTATTCTTATTTTGAATTTTTATCCTGATGAATTTAGCATACAAGTATCTCAATAAATATGGGAATTCAGTGACGACTATTATATCGTCTTCAATCCATGCTGCATTTTTTCATGAACACAACAATTGCAGTATTCCAGCTTAAACATTGTATATCGAAAACGCCTGGTCTTGAGATTTTCAAAATGTGGTCTACCATTTTTGAATCTTCAAAATTATTGCAAAATTTGTAAATATTTCAATTCATTTAATAAAACAAAATTGTCTTAATATCTAATATCTTTGTCAATTTTGAAGATGCAAGAAACGTAGACCACTTTATGAAAAGGTGGTCAGACGTACAGCCTCGTTATTTTGCTCTCTATGCCATGCATTAAATATCAGATGTTTATTGGGACACATTGTACCTACGAATAATCTGACAATATCAGCTGAAACTTGAGTTTTCCCAGCAACAGTTGCTGTAATCCTACAGGTCCAACCCCCGCTATCCCGGGGATTTACTCCCTATGTAATCAATAGTTTTAAAAAGTTGAAAAATTATAGGAATAAGAGAATCAGAGCTTGTGGAAAAAACTCGATTCTTTTTCTTTTTATCGCAGGGTCAGGACTTTTTTGTGAAGTCCAAAAACTTCATAAAAACCAAACTAAAAGTGTTATAGGTAAACTTTTCTGAAAATTGGTTCACTTGTCATGTTAGGATGTGGTTATTTCTAAATATAAACAGAAAAAAAGTTAATTTTAGTTTTATTTTCATTTAAAATGAAAATAACTTTAGAAATATTCAAAATGTTTTGAAGAATATCAACTGAGCAAGCATGATTTTGTCTGCGATAGGTTCAAAAAAATATTTAAACATTCTATTGATCCCTGAATAACTATTCCGCAGTCTAGGTTGGAGAAACCAAAGTATCGAAGACGACCATTCTCCTGCTCACGTGCTGTGGTAAAACTAACAAACATCCGCCATATAAAATAGTTAATTATTAATTAGTTCAAAAAAAGAATGTTTCAATTAACATGAAGATCGATTTAATAACTTTGAAGTCCTACATGTCTGTGTCTATTTGGCATTAGTTCTTGAATTTAAAATTACATCTAACAGATTTAAAAGCAATGTTTGTTCCTAATAATAGACTCGTAAGGGGTTTCCCACTCACAGTTGTCGAACTCCTTGTTAGCATGACACACAAGAGTTGCCTTCTCGTCGGCCTGCTGAAGTATACTTGTCGGAGCAGACAGCTTCAGGGGGACTAAACAGTATTATAAACAGGTTCAGGGGGACTATAAACCAGTATTGTAAACAGGTTCAGGGGGACATAAACAGTATTATAAACAGGTTCAGTGGGACTAAACAGTATTATATAGACAAGTTCAGGGGGGACTAAACAGTATTATATAGACAGGTTCAGGGGGAATATAAAGCAGTATTTAAACAGGTTCAGGGGGACTAAACAGTATTATAAGCAGGTTCAGGGGGACTAAACAGTATTATAAACAGGTTCAGGGGGACTAAACAGTATTATAAACAGTTTCAGGGGGACTAAACAGTATTATAAACAGGTTCAGGGGGACTGAACAGTATTATAAACAGGTTCAGGGGGACTATAAAGCAGTATTATAAACAGGTTCAGGTGGACTAAACAGTATTATAAACAGGTACGTTCAGGGGGGCTAAACAGTATTATATAGACAGGTTCAGGGGGACTAAACAGTATTATAAACAGGTTCAGGGGGACTAAACAGTATTATAAACAGGTTCAGGGGGACTAAACAGTATTATAAACAGGTTCAGGTGGACTAAACAGTATTATAAACAGGTTCAGGGGGACTAAACAGTATTATAAACAGGTTCAGGGGGGGCTAAACAGTATTATATAGACAGGTTCAGGGGGACTAAACAGTATTATAAACAGGTTCAGGGGGACTAAACAGTATTATAAACAGGTTCAGGGGGACTAAACAGTATTATAAACAGGTTCAGGGGGACTAAACAGTATTATAAACAGGTTCAGGGGGACTAAACAGTAATATAAACAGGTTCAGGGGGGACTAAACAGTATTATAGACAGGTTCAGGGGGGACTAAACAGTATTACAAACAATTTCAGGGGGACTAAATAGTATTATAGACAGGTTCAGGTGGACTAAACAGAACAGAGCAGAACAGAGGTAGCAAACAATATTTTAAATGATTTTATTACCAATTTCAGAAAGATTCATTTAACCTACATATTTTTGAATTTGGACATTTTAAACTTTAAATTCAAATTTATGGCTAATTCAGGAAATATATAATAAAATTAAGTTTAGCAGAGCGTGAAATGTATTCTCAAATGTGGGTTTTAGTCAGTGAGAACTTATTATGCGTAGATCATAAAAATTAACATCTTGTAATAGGCTTGACGTAAAATTCTAGTTGAACGAATTTTAATTACAAATAAGAAATACTTACTTTCAATTTTCAATTGTGTTTTTGTAACTTGAACCTGGTTTCCCCCCTTCATACAGGACCAAAGCCCCTGGTCCCTAGTCTGGAGGTTTGCAACCCTGATATCACAATCTGCCAAGGACTGGATCCGTCCTCTCTCCGCATACTCCCCTAGCAGAAGTGTATAGGTTCTATCATAGGGAGTTCTCCAACTACAGTCTCCAGGTCCTACTCCGCATCTACAACCAGAGTTCATAGAGTCTAGTTCATGATCTATATGCCATGCATGCTTAGAGAGAATATCGTCGTAATTTCAAATTCACTTAACGAGGAGCATGCCCGAGTCACAATGGTACCCTTTAAAACTTTACCTAATCAATAATGTGGAGTATTCACAATGGTACACTTTAAATCTTTACCTAATCAATAATGTGGAGTATTCACAATGATACCCTTTAAATCTTTATCTAATAAAGAATGTGGAGTATTCACAATGATACCCTTTAAATCTTTATATAATAAATAATCTGGAGTATTCACAATGGTACCCTTTAAATCATTATCTAATCAATAATCTGGAGGATTCACAATGGTACCCTTTAAATCTTTATATAATAAATAATCTGGAGTATTCACAATGGTACCCTTTAAATCATTATCTAATCAATAATCTGGAGTATTCACAATGATACCCTTTAAATCTTTGTCTAATCAATAATCTGGAGGATTCACAATGGTACCCTTTAAATTTTTATCTAATCAATAATCTGGAGGATTCACAATGGTACCCTTTAAATCTTTATTTAATTAATATTCTGGAGGATTCACAATGTTACCCTTTAAATCTTTATCTAATCAATAATCTGGAGTATTCACAATGAATCAATAATCTGGAGTATTCACAATGGTACCCTTTAAATCTTTATCTAATCAATAATCTGGAGTATTCACAATGATACCCTTTAAATCATTATCTAATCAATAATCTGGAGGATTCACAATGGTACCCTTTAAATCTTTATCTAATCAATAATCTGGAGTATTCACAATGGTACACTTTAAATCTTTATATAATAAATAATCTGGAGTATTCACAATGGTACCCTTTAAATCTTTATATGATAAATAATCTGGAGGATTCACAATGATACCCTTTAAATCTTTATCTAATAAAGAATGTGGAGTATTCACAATGGTACCCTTTAAATCTTTAGCTAATCAATAATCTGGAGGATTCACAATGATATCCTTTAAATCTTTATCTAATCAATAATCTGGAGTATTCACAATGATACCCTTTAAATCATTTATATCTAATCAATAATCTGGAGGATTCACAATGATACCCTTTAAATCTTTATCTAATCAATAATCTGGAGTATTCACAATGATACCCTTTAAATCATTATCTAATCAATAATCTGGAGTATTCACAATGATACCCTTTAAATCTTTGTCTAATCAATAATCTGGAGGATTCACAATGGTACCCTTTAAATTTTTATCTAATCAATAATCTGGAGGATTCACAATGGTACCCTTTAAATCTTTATTTAATTAATATTCTGGAGGATTCACAATGTTACCCTTTAAATCTTTATCTAATCAATAATCTGGAGTATTCACAATGAATCAATAATCTGGAGTATTCACAATGGTACCCTTTAAATCTTTATCTAATCAATAATCTGGAGTATTCACAATGATACCCTTTAAATCATTATCTAATCAATAATCTGGAGGATTCACAATGATACCCTTTAAATCTTTATCTAATCAATAATCTGGAGAGTATTCACAATGATACCCTTTAAATCTTTATCTAATAAATAATCTGGAGGATTCACAATGGTACCCTTTAAATCTTTATATAATCAATAATCTGGAGGATTCACAATGGTACCCTTTAAATCTTTATCTAATAAAGAATGTGGAGTATTAACAATGGTACCCTTTAAATCTTTATATAAAAAAGAATGTGGAGTATTCACAATGGTACCCTTTAAATCTTTATCTAATCAATAATCTGGAGGATTCACAATGGTACCCTTCAAATCTTTATCTAATCAATAATGTGGAGTATTCACAATGATACCCTTTAAGAATGTGGAGTATTAACAATGGTACACTTTAAATCTTTAGCTAATCAATAATCTGGAGGATTCACAATGATACCCTTTAAATCTTTATCTAATAAATAATCTGGAGTATTCAGAATGATACCCTTCAAATCTTTAGCTAATAAAGAATGTGGAGGATGTCTATGGTCCATGATTGCTCTCTGTAAATATTGTTCATTTTTAATTGTGGTTTCTCTATAAAATAGACTTTTGGATTTCTTTCTATCGACAATCGACGATATCTTCCGATTATTGATAAGATAAAGGTTTAAAGGGTAACCCTGTGACTCGGACATGGCCCTCTTTAAATGCTGGGTAACTTGAAATTACGTTGACACCCCCCTTTAAGTCAGAGAAATTGTTGTTTTGAATATTTCCCCTTTAGTTCTTCGATTGACGTATGCCATAAGAAAAATAAACATGCACTAGCAACCTTGTATCATAATAAAATCTCTCCTTGGTTGGGGTTTTATATTACTCAAGATTGTGGATTTAGTCATATATTTTTCAAATATATATTTAAATAGGAATAAAATGGAAACACAATTAAAATATTTAACTTCTTACCAGAAAATACTGGATTATAATCATGGAAAATCTTTTTTAAGATAAAGCTAATAATTTATTTTATATGAGACTAGCTTGAGAACCCAGCGTTACCCAGGGTACTTATAAACAGTAACTCCCACCAACTAAGAACATTCCCGTGGTTCTTCCAAGTTCCCCAATCAAAATTTAAGGCAAATCGGTGAAAGGGTCGCTGAGCTATGATCGGACATTCAAACAAACAAACAAATTACTACTTTATTATATGAGATAACGATTCATTTTTTTACATAAACATAAAAATTAAGGTTTCTTTCTTATCATGTATACCCAGACAATGTTAATTTTTTTTGAGAATTTTTTAAAGCTCGTTTTATTACAGCTACGGAAAGGACCTGTTTCCTCGTCCAATTAAAACCAATTCTCAAAATTTAAGAATTTAACACTGTAAGCAAAATACAAAATAATCGGTTTTAAAAATATTAAACATTGATCTATATAATTCATTTTTGATCAGAAAAGGCTTTTAAGATCACCATTGTGAATCGGGCATTGCCGTCTCTGTAAGGATGGTCACTTGAAATGACACTTACAGTTCTTTAAATAATGTATTGTGAATGTGATCTTAAGATATATATATTTGCCTCCTGTAATATAGAATATCATGTTTCATATTTACCTTAAAACTATATCTTCTCCTTCTATTCCTGTCTCTGTACTCTCTTTACTATTCTCTAGATAAAAAGGAAATTGTAGAGAGAGAAATCCCAGAACGAGGATTATAAAATCCGCAAAGCATTTGTGTCGAATCCTGGAACCAGAGAAAACCTTCTCAACTTCCTCTCCTTTTATTCGCTCGTTATTTACCGTGTATTTACAACAAGAAGCAATAAATGTACTTCTAAAAAATATAGAAACACAGGTCGGAACTTTCGCTTTAGACTCCAATCTATTACTATGTTATTTTGTGAGTTATGGGTTATGGTTATGCTCTTCATATCCGATAAAAAAGGTTAAGCTCAAGGACGGAGAAATGAAGGTTTAGTATCGGAGAAATACGTTCTGTGTAAAATATAATTGAAATGATGAGGTTAACTCCGTCCCATAAATGGTTTAAATCTAGGGAGGAGCAAGGACGTATCCGTACCAAGGGATAAATATTGGTTATCTAAGGTTTGCGCCAAGTTGGAGAAGGGACGTATAAAACTCTGGAGAAATCCATCCTGTAACGCAGTATGTAAAAACATATCAAATCTGGACAAAAATTTATCCTAAATGGAGTCTGAAGAAAGAGTATAACTGAGTAATCCAGGAATTACGCTTAGATAAAACCTTATATGAATTTGGTATTAAGTATGATCGATCGATAGTGAGTTGTGAGTTAGAGCAAAGACGACGAATTCAACGCGCATAAATCCGTAAGTTTCTTAGATTTTATAAAGAATGGTACGCAATTTAAATATTCTTCAGTATGTCACAGAGTGAAATTGAACTGAAATAAAAAGTTTGAATCAATAATAGACAGGTTATATGTTTTAGAAGTAATGGTTTAGACGTGTCAGCTTTACGATAAGGATTTCGGATATTTGTAGTGCAACAATAGGTAAATAAATAACGATATAAGGAGTTGAAGAAGAAGTTGCAGTTACAAGATAGTTCGTTTATATGTATTTTTATTATTCTTTTTATGTTATTTTGTAACGATTATTATTTATTCTAGAACGAACTTTTGATGGTGTGATCTTCCAGATATACAGAGCATTCGACGCTACAGGATGAGTAAGGTAGAACTTTTGATTTAGTATTGATACCAAAGGTTTCTTGATATCTATTTTTGTCTTCAAGGCTGGGGACAAAACAAACTACAGCCTAATTCTCATCGGAAACTTTTAATTTGAAAACAGTGATTCCGTTGTGTTTGTTCCGTTGTGTTTATTTCGTACAAACAAGCTGTCTAATATTCTTGAGATCTCTCATCAGTCTGTAAAGATATCCAGGATAGAATATGGATTGGTAAAATTACATAAAAACTTTGTTATAAAACCGAGCATATTTGTAAAAGCTCCTGTAAGAGTAACAACGCTGTTTTTCACTTATATTAAAGCTTTATTCAACCAGTTTTTAAATCAATTTAATCTCTTTATTTCTTTAATTGTATTTTCTTACCCGAATCTAGGATAATATTTGCATTTTCTAGCCTTAATCTAGGATAATATTTGTACTTTCTAACCTGAATCTAGGATAATATTGGTTTTCTCTACCTTGAATCTAGGATAATATTTGTACTTTCTAACCTGAATCTAGGATAATATTTGTATTTTCTAACCTTAATCTAGGATAATATTTGTATTTTCTAACCTAGATCTAGGATAATATTTGTATTTTATAAACTGAATCTAGGATAATATTTGTATTTTCTAACCTGAATCTAGGATAATATTTGTATTTTCTAACCTAGATCTAGGATAATATTTGTATTTTCTAACCTGAATCTAGGATAATATTTGTATTTTCTAACCTGAATCTAGGATAATATTTGTATTTTCTAACCTGAATCTAGGATAATATTTGTATTTTCTAACCAGAATCTAGGATAATATTTGTATTTTCTAACCTGAATCTAGGATAATATTAAGAGATGTTTCTGCAGTAGTTGTACTAAACTCCCCGCCTTCCACTGCCCCAACCTCACATTGCCACGCCCCCACGTCCTGTGCCTGAACCACCTTAATGGACAACCCACATTGATCCCCTGCATCTGGGTTGGAGCTGATCCGCCCATTTTCCCAGCTCCGCCCTCCGCCAACAGTGTAAATAGATTTGTATGGTGTCCGCCACAAACATATACTGGGTCTAGAAAACCTTTCTTAATTCAAAATTGTTGATTTCTATAATTGAGAAAGAAAAATTTAAATTGAAAAAGTTTTTTGCACTCTCTCACCCCATCCAAGTTGAATATTGAAGAATGAACCTGCTTAGCAGGAAAATAAACAATTCTCCGAGTATTCATAAATCAAAGTAAAGAATATTTTCATCAAAAAGGAAAAGAGGACAAACCTTGAAATTCTGGGAGAAAAATTAAAGAGGAAATCACGGATATTTTCCGCAAATAGAACACATTTGTTGTGAAATAAATCTTCATGTCTCTATATCTATGCAGCCCAATTTCGTAGACCTTAAACATGTCAAACAATGAATTCCGTTAGATTAAATAATGCAAGTTTGAAATATCACAATTCAAAAGTTTACACTATAAGGTTGCATAGATAAAAGGATTAGAAATTGTAAGTTTGTGGCAAAGACTTTTAAGTTAAATTTTTTAAGAAAAATCAGGAATAGCAGAAATAAACCTGGATAAACCTGGATAAACCTGGATAAACCTGGATAAACCTGGATAAACCTGGATAAACCTGGATAAACCTGGATAAACCTGGATAAACAAACCTGGATAAACTTAGATAAACCTGGATAAACCTGGATAAACCTGGAAAAACCTGGAAAAACCTGGATAAACTTAGATAAACCTGGATAAACCTGGATAAACCTGGATAAACCTGGATAAACCTGGATAAACCTGGATACACCTGGATACACCTGGATAAACCTGTATAAACAAACCTGGACAAACTTGGATTAACCTGGATAAACCTGGATAGCCCTGGAAAAACCTGGAAAAACCTTGATAAACTTAGATAAATCTGGATAAACCTGGATAAACCTGGATAAACCTGGATAAACCTGGATAAACCTGGATAAACCTGGATAAACCTGGATAAACCTGGATAATTATTAAAGAAGGTTCCTTTTGTTTGAGTTGCAGAGTAGATTAACTTCTTCTCCTAGTCTAACGGTAAGCTGACGAGGTTCAGGAGTAACAATCAGTCCTGCTCCGGAGCATTCCTGTACAGAAGGGGTTTCTTCATTATCTTTTATATTCATAATCTTATCAATCTTCTCATTCATCTTCTTATTCATCTTTAATCTTATTTATCTTTTATGTTCATCTTTTATTGTCATTATATTATCTTCTTAATTTTAAATTCATTTGTTATATTTACATATGATCTTATTTATCTTTTATAATCATATATTATTTATATTCATCATCTTATTAATCTTATTTCATCAAGAGCATACATGTTTGAAACACATTATTGGATCATGAATTCATGTTTATCTTTTTGTACTACAACATGATTACTTGTAATACAGGAGAAGAAGAAGACACTTCAGAGCCTGACATTTAAAAGAGCATCGTTGAACGAGCATAGTTCCAGGTCGTCTCTATACCCTGTATTCTGATATGAGTGTTTATATCCAAACAAAAATAAATATTGTTTGAAATGACCAGGTCCTGCTGGGAGACTGAATAAATTATTTAAATTGAAATATTTATGGATTTATAATGTGTAAACTAACAGCGGGAGTTAACCAAACTATCTCATAAATATGTCATCCACGCCCCTCCCTACTCCCTACTCCCTACTCCCTACTGTATCTTTTTTGGAATTAAAATAACGAAGGTTTCTCCATAAAAATTCAAACATATCGGTCAAGGGTTTTCTAAGCTAGGTATGATCGTAACTCTGAATAGACAGATAGACACCAAAACAGAAACTACTACTTCGTATACTGCCAGGAAAATGAATGTCAATGAATCAATGTTTAAATACATGTCTAGCCCGGAAATATAATACCTGCAATCCGCAGAAAGAAAAAATTCTTAAAAATGAAATTTATAAATTATGTATGATGAGCAAGGTCATCATTGGGAAAATTTAACCCAAGGAACTAGTACTAACCAGTAACCATCCAGTAACCATCTTCCTTTGTAAACATAACCTTTTCTCTTTTCGCTATCTATCTTTCTATCAATATCTATATTCATCTATCTATCTATCTATCTATCCACTATTAGTGTATTATTATTTTAATTTAGAAAGCTACAATGAAAACCTAGAAAACTCTGGAATAGTAAGACGACTTCCAGACTCTAGTCATAAGTTTAAGTAGTCTAATGAATATTAGACACAGCAATTGCGCAGTGTAAAGCGACAATTGTCACTCAATAAGTTACTTGTAAAACTATTTGCTTTATAACAACATCAAATAAACTAAATTGTTGCTTTAATGTCGCCTTACCATTCTACATTTTTTTTATAATACTGGTTTGTTCTTAATAGAACAATAAACCAAAATTAACTAACTTTGCTATTTTTCAAATATATGAGAACAGTTAAACTGAAATTATTTAAGAATTGTGAAGTATGCAGTATGCAGTGCACTTTAACATCACTGCTATAACTGCTATTGCATGCAAATAAAATAAAGAGTATTGCATAATCAGCACCTTGCCCATTTGCATATAACAGGCAGTGAATCCAGCTGCCTGCCTGAATACAAATATTTGAGGATCATCGTATTCTAATATAATATATATATACCGTTATTCTAGCTTTGTCCGTCAATCAAAACTCAATTCAAGAAAAGAATTTAAAAGTAATGTAACAAAAGTATAAATAAGCAAATTATGTAATCACCTTTATTTTGACAAAACGGTTCCATCCAACCCATTTTTATTTGTTAAATGATATAAACCAACTACTTTTTATTATAATCATATTTGTTCTTTTTTATCTGGAATCGTTTCATAAAACCATATTTTGTTTTAAATATTTTATCCAATGGCAAGTTTTTTTTATTGTATTTTAAATTTTTCATTCAACAACTTTTTTTTTTCAACGGAAGCAAAGTCTCTTGTTGAAAATGTAAATTTATCAAATTTGTTGTTATTTGTTTTTTGTATGGAGTGGAAATAAAAAGTCCAATAACAAAATACCCAAAAACAAAACGCCCAATGTTACAAACGCCCCATGACAAATTACCCAAATAAAACATGCCTGAACAAAGGGGTTATCGTTGTATTTGTGTATAAACTGTACAAAAGGGTTAACGTTGTCTTTGTGTATAAACTATACATAAGGGTTACCGTTGTATTTGTGTATAAACTGTACAAAATGGTTACCGTTGTATTTGTGTATAAACTGTACAAAAGGGTTAACGTTGTATTTCTGTATAAACTGTACAAAAGGGTTAACGTTGTATTTGTGTATAAACTGTAAAAAGGGTTAACGTTGTATTTGTGTATTAATGTACTTAAGAATTAACGTTGTATTTGTGTATAAACTGTACAAAAGGGTTAACGTTGTATTTGTGTATAAACTGTACAAAAGGGTTATCGTTTTATTAGTGTATAAACTGTACAAAAGGGCTATCGTTGTATTTGTGTATAAACTGTACAAAATGGTTACCGTTGTATTTGTGTATAAACTGTACATAAGGGTTAACATTGTATTTGTGTATAAACTGTACATAAGGGTCAACGTTGTATTTGTGTATAAACTGCATATAAGGGTTAACTTTGTATTAATGTTTAGTCTGTACAAAATGGTTAACGTTTTATTTCTGTATAAACTGTACAAATGGGTTAACGTTGTATTTCTGTATAAACTGTACATAAGGGTCAACGTTGTATTTGTGTATAAACTGTACATAAGGGTTAACGTTGTATTTGTGTATAAACTGTACATAAGGGTTAACGTTGTATTAGTGTATAAACTGTACAAAAGGTTCAACATTGTATTTGTGTATAAACTGTACATATGGGTTAACGTTGTATTTGTGTATAGACTGTACATAAGGGTTAACGTTGTATTTGTGTATAAACTGTACATAAGGGTTAACGTTGTATTTGTGTATTAACTGTACAAAAGGGTTAACGTTGTATTTATGTATAAACTGTACAAAAGGGTTAACGTTGTATTTGTGTATAAACTGTACATAAGGGTTAACGTTGTATTTGTGTATAAACTGTACATAAGGGTTAACGTTGTATTTGTGTATACTCTGTACAAAAGGGTTAACGTTGTATTTGTGTTAAAGTTTGTACAAAAGGGTTAACATTTGTGTATAAACTGTACATAAGGGTTAACGTTGTATTTGTGTATACTCTGTACAAAAGGGTTAACGTTGTATTTGTGTTAAAGTTTGTACAAAAGGGTTAACGTTGTAGTTTTGTATAAACTGTACATAAGGGTTAAAGTTGTATTTGTGTATAAACTGTACATAAGGGTTAACGTTGTATTTGTGTATAAACTGTACATAAGGGTTAACGTCGTATATTCGTATGTTAGGCATTGGTTCATACCTATGCCAAGATGTTTTGCTCAGGCGGAAATAATTAATTAAAATTCTGCTATGCAAGACAAGAAGACGGCGAGATAGTTACATATATACATAGATGTATATAAATGTATATATATATATGTATATAGATTATATATATATATATATAAACAATTGACATTTTTCAAATCTTTGCTCCTCAATTAACAATAGTCTGCGCATCTTTTTTAGTCTAACCTTTCTATTTTCGTCTATCATCCTTTCAAATGATTTGATTTATTTACCAAATTTTCTTCTTACCATTTAAATCCAATCTATTCAATTATGAGCCGAGTTCCGCTATTCTATTCTTCGGTTACGGTATCATATCTTCCAGTTCTGTACCTTCCTCCTCCTTTTCCTTTTTCTTCTTCCTATTCCTCACTGCTTTTGCTTCCAACAATCCATCCTTTTTTTCAGATATCTGCTCCATCCTTCTGCCTTTTCATCCTCCTATCTTCCGTCTACTCCATTCCCCTTTCTTCCGTCCCTTCCATCCATCCCCCTGTATTCCGTTCCCTCCATTCATCTACCTGTCTTCCGTCCCCCCTATCCATCTCTTAGCTTCCGTTCCCTCCATTCATCTACCTGTCTTCCGTCCCCCCTATCTATCTCTTAGCTTCCGTTCCCTCCATTCATCTACCTGTCTTCCGTCACCCCTATCCATCTCTTAGTTTCCGTTCCCTCCATTCATCTACCTGTCTTCCGTCCCCCCTATCTATCTCTTAGTTTCCGTTCCCTCCATTCATCTACCTGTCTTCCGTCCCCCCTATCCATCTCTTAGTTTCCGTTCCCTCCATTCATCTACCTGTCTTCCGTCACCCCTATCCATCTCTTAGCTTCCGTCTCCTCCATTTATCTCCCTGTCTTCCTTTCCTTCCATCCATCCCCCCTGTTTTCTGTCCCTTCCATCCATCCTCCTGTCTTACGTTCCCGATCATTCATCTCCCTGTCTTCCGTCTCCTCCATCAATATCTTGTTTTCCGTCTCTTCCGTACACTGGATCCCCCTTTCTTCCGTTCTCCTAATCCATCCCCCTGTCTTCCGTCTACACCATCAATCCCTTGACTTCGGTCTTCTCCATTCATCTCCCTGTCTTCCACACTCCCCTTGTCTTCCATCCACTCCATCCATCCCTTGTCTTCCATCCATGCCATCCATCCCTTGTCTTCCGTCCACTCCATCCATCCCTTGTCTTCCATCCATGCCATCCATCCCTTGTCTTCCGTCTCCTCTATCCATCCCCTGTCTTCTGTCCCCCCTTTCCGTCCCCTGTTTGCCGACTTCCTTATCCGTCCCCTGTCTTCCGTCTCCTCTATCCATCCCCTGTCTTCCGTCTCCTCTATCCATCCCCTGTCTTCCATCCACGACATCCATCTATTCTTTTGTCCTTTATTGAGTTGAAGTCCATCTTGACTAAGTTGAAGTGAAGAGTTGTTGAGATGTCAGGATACGAGAATAGAACCTTTATCCAACTCATCTCTTATATACTGTACTCTTCTTATATACTGGATACAAAATATTTCCAGTATATCCAGTATAACTAGAGTGTATATGAATAGCTGGATATACTGGATACACAGTATAACCAGTATATCCAGTATAACTAGAGTGTATATGAATAGCTGGATATACTAGATATACAGTATAACCAGTGTATCTAGTATAACTAGGATGTATATGAATAGCTGGATATACTGTATATACTGGATACACCGCTGTATATTCAAGATATCTGAGTCAGCTGATTTTCACGAATTAAGCATCAAATTGCTCCGAATAAGAAGTTTCACCACTGTATATTGAGTGAAGAAGATTTACGTACACAATTTTTGGTTAGATTATGTTCTCTCTTATCCTTTTCTATTACTTAGATTAAATTAGAAAAAGGAAATTTAAGAGTTTTCTTTAAACATATTTAAGGAAAAACCAAAAATCAAGCGTATAAACTTTTTTTCTAAATTCTTTCAAATGTTCTGCAAAACTTAAATTGAATTTGATGTAAAATGAAAAAAAAAAACATGTTCTTTTCATCCTTTTGCAGTTTCAAACTGAATTGATATACCTAGCTACTGTACAATTCACAGTATACAGCCCAGTTTGCAAAATTTCCAGAACTGTTACCATGTACACTGTACAGTCGATGCCAGTGCTCTCAATACCGGAAACAAGGTTGAGTAAGAATACAAGGAATGTTTTTATTGTTTCTGTTTTATTTCTTACTTCCCACCATTCAAATATTCTTCAATCTCAGGCAACTCCCAACCTTCATGCTTCATTCTTCATCCTTCATTCTTCATCCCTCATCCCTTATCCTTCATTCTTCATCCTTCATCCTCATTCTTGATTCTTGATTCTTCATTCTTCATTCTTGATTCTTCATTATTCATTCTTCATCCCTCATCCCTTATCCTTCATTCTTCATCCTTCATCCTCATTCTTGATTCTTGATTCTTCATTCTTCATTCTTCATTCTTCATTCTTCATTCTTCATTCTTCAATCTTCATTCTTCATTCTTCATTCTTCATTCTTCATTCTTCATTCTTCATTCTTCATTCTTCATCCTTCATCCTTTATCCTTTATCCTTTAGCCTTCATCCTTCATTCTTCATCTTTCATTCTTCATTCTTCATTCTTAATTCTTAATTATTTATTCTTCATCATTTAATCTTCATCCTTCATTTTCATTTCCTAACTTTTTCTTCATCTCTCATCTGTCATCTTCTCCTCCTTATCTTTCAAAATACGTGTACGCACTCATAATCTATCATTCTACATAGTTCCTCCCCCTCATCTTCCTGTACCTCCTTCTCCTTTTTATATCTTCCTTTCCCCTTCTACATCTCCTAAACCCCCCTCCGCCCACTTTTCAAACTCCTTCCGTTCCTCCTAAGTCTGAATCTGAATGTTTTCAGTCTTCCTCCCACGGTTTATAGCAGACTGAGATATTAAAGTATACAATTAGATGAACTGAGCATATATCAATTCTAAACCTAGTATAACTGTTGGACAATATTGTGCTGAATACATGATTGAGACAAAGACAAGATTAGGATAAGGCAATTATTTAGAGAAAAAAGACAAGATTAAGATAAAGCATAGTTCAGACATAGACAAGATTATAGAATTAAAAAACAAGATTAAAGCAAAATCAAGTTTTAAAGAATGTCAAAACTTTTACGAAGTCAAGGTCATGGAGATAAAAATGAAATGTATAAAAGATTATAACTAAATATATAAAGATTAAAATAAAGACAAAATTAAAACAAAACAAAAGATTAGGACAAAAAAAAGATGATGATAAAGACCATATTATACACATAAAAAATAGAATAATATTTAGCTAAGATTTAGACAAATTTAAGATTAGAGAAGATAAGATTAGGACAAAGACAAGATTATAGAGATAATGAAAAGATTAGGAATAAGACCAGAATAGGAAAAACTCAGTATAGACAAATCCAAGATTAGAAAATCAAAGATTACGAAGATAAAGACAAAGATTGAGAAAGTTAAAGTTAAAACAAATACCAAATTAAGTAAAAGACAAGATGAAGATAAAGACGAAATTACAGAGATAAAGATTTTTAAAACCAAGATTTAGAAAAATCCAAGAAAAAGGAAAGATTATGAAGATAAAATTACACAAAAACGTTTCTTGCATCACACCCAATATAAAAATCAATCAAAAACCACTCCATTAAAATCATATGTATATTTTGTTAACCCTGTTAGTATCACTTGTGAGCTTTACCCCCTCCCTGCCGCCCCCCCTTCACTTTCTAAGTTCCTTTTGATTAGGTCCTTCTACAAATTGAAACAATAACATGTCATACTAAACTTATCTTATGTATAAAAATAAATAATAAAAGAATTCATGAAAATCTAGGTGATTTAAAGACCTACCCTGTAGAAGAGAGCTGCAAGGCCTATGAGAAGGTAGAAAACCTTAACCCTGGACATATTGGTACCCGGGGTACCGGGGACCCATATGGGGTACTTCACATCAGTACATAGCTACAGGGGACGTCATCAGAATCTAAAATAATCAACTTATTATAGGATTAAACGGACTGTAAGCGTTATCTCAAGTGAGGAAAATGCCAGATTAACAACATTACCCTTTAAACATTTGACTGTTTATTAAGTAAAGAGAGCTCTGTGTGTAAATCTCTGAAATAGCTATTGAATCGTTCTACCCTTCGCTGCGTACAGTGTGAACTCAACACAGCTGATCTGTTACTAGCGTGTCTTGAAAATATCGTCTTTGTTACGTATAACAGGGTGTCCCTCATGATATTACAGGGTGTCCCTCATGATATTACAGGGTGTCCCTCATGATATCACATCGTCAATGGTTCTAAATTACGATTTTCAGGACTACTGAGAATTTTTAAGAAGAATGAATCATTTTTGAAAAAGTGAATAAGGCAAAAATAAGAATTGTCCTGCAAAAAATGCCAGGTTTTTGAGTAATACGTGTTTATTTTGACGCTTAGAAAGGGAAATAATCTAATATGATATGGGACGCTCTGCATCTGCCACTTTTAGAGAGTAGATATTTCTTAACAATACAACAGCTTACAAACAAAGCGTTAAACAATTAAAATCGTTTTTGTAGATTAATAAGGATATGTCTGCCATCCTTGATCAGCCAAAGGTTTAAAGGGTACGTTGTGAATCCTGGATCACCCAAAGGTTTAAAGGGTACGTTGTGAATCCTGGATCAGCCAAAGGTTTAAAGGGTACCGTTGTGAATCCTGGATCACCCAAAGGTTTAAAAGGTACCGTTGTGAATCCTGGATCACCCAAAGGTTTAAAAGGTACCGTTGTGAATCCTGGATCACCCAAAGGTTTAAAAGGTACCGTTGTGAATCCTGGATCACCCAAAGGTTTAAAAGGTACCGTTGTGAATCCTGGATCACCCAAAGGTTTAAAAGGTACCGTTGTGAATCCTGGATCACCCAAAGGTTTAAAAGGTACCGTTGTGAATCCTGGATCACCCAAAGGTTTAAAAGGTACCGTTGTGAATCCTGGATCACCCAAAGGTTTAAAAGGTACCGTTGTGAATCCTGGATCACCCAAAGGTTTAAAAGGTACCGTTGTGAATCCTGGATCACCCAAAGGTTTAAAAGGTACCGTTGTGAATCCTGGATCACCCAAAGGTTTAAAAGGTACCGTTGTGAATCCTGGATCACCCAAAGGTTTAAAAGGTACCGTTGTGAATCCTGGATCACCCAAAGGTTTAAAAGGTACCGTTGTGAATCCTGGATCACCCAAAGGTTTAAAAGGTACCGTTGTGAATCCTGGATCACCCAAAGGTTTAAAAGGTACCGTTGTGAATCCTGGATCACCCAAAGGTTTAAAAGGTACCGTTGTGAATCCTGGATCACCCAAAGGTTTAAAAGGTACCGTTGTGAATCCTGGATCACCCAAAGGTTTAAAAGGTACCGTTGTGAATCCTGGATCACCCAAAGGTTTAAAAGGTACCGTTGTGAATCCTNAATATATTGTAAGAAAAACCGACTCGTTGAATATTTGAGAAACTCAGTGCATTGCTTTATTGATTTTTATTCATATACAATAATATACGTGGTTTATTTGTTCTATTCTGCTCTTTAAACAATCTGCTCCATGCTTCAATTTGTTAATACATCATTTACTCGATGATTCATAATAAATAGAGCAAAGTAAGGTCATGTTATCAATTTGTATCATAAATATTATGATAATTGTCAAATTATATCAGCATTATCATATAATATAATCCTTTTTTAAAGGGAGTGTTCGCGAAAAATGAAGGTGGTATAGGCTTACTGCGAAAAATTATCGATGGTGATTTAGAAAGTTGCAACATGCGACTCAGAACGTAAACACTCCCTTTTATTATACAGAGTTATCCACAATTAATGAGACTTCAGAGACGACTGTAAAGAATTTATATTGTCTGTTTCTTTGGAAATGTAAATTTTTTCTTTTCTTCGTCAAATCATATTTAATATGCAAAGCCTTTTCTGCATACACCTTATTTTCCAGGCTGAAGAGTTAATTTAAGTCTTTACGTCCTCTTTACAGTCTCATTCTTTGTAGGTAACCCTTATACATTATTATTGATCATTACAATTACAAATAAATTAGTCTATGTTCTCCACGCAAAAAGAAACATTTAAGATAATTTTTTTGACATTTTCTATTTGTAACAGGTCTTTGCACTTCTTGGAAATAGGGGTCATCATTATATTTAAGATCATTCGAGCCAAGGTATGTATACTAAAGGAAAAGGGATAGGGCCGGTGTCGTGCATCAGTTCATCCCCTCTCCGACAATTCATTCCCCTAACCCCTTATAGTGTAATGCCATTTCAACTCAGTGTTAGGCTCCAAAATGAAATGTTATGCCACTTGTTTATAAATGTATTTTAATTTTAAGAAATTAAGATTATGTCTCGAAAAAAACACCAATTGTTTAATAATTTTTATATTTTTTAGCGTTTTACTCCTTTAATATTTCATTTTAGAATTAAATAGGCTTTTAGTTATGAAATTAAAAAAACTGTTGCTTTTAAAGTCTAAGATTCAGTGGTGAAATAAGGGGAGAAATTGGGGTTATTTACCCCCCCCCCCCCTAGAATCTTGGAGGTAATTACCCCTGAACTATTCAGGCCCTGAATAGCGAGTTGTTACTTTGTTTTTGTTTTTAAAAAGGTTGATTTAATATCTCTAAAATTTGCGAGAAAATGATTTAAATGTGCAGATACTTCAGATATTTCAGATTTTAAGTCATCATATTTTAAATGATTCTAAATCCTAAAGTAATACTTAATGTCATTACAATTATATGTTTTTTTTTAATAGAAAAAAGGGTATTGGCAATGAGAAGTACAAAATAATGTCATTTCCATATTAGATTTATTTAAGATCTTAACATACTACATTGACGACAAGAAAATTTTAGAAATTAGAAATAAGAATATAAACAAAGACAATATTTTTCTAAGCTTTGCAGAGTAGCTTTTCTAAAGATTTAAAAATGTAAAATCTTTCTCCTCTTAGAGTAAAACTATTATTTTTTATCTTACTTAAAATAAATTAAGTTTTTTTACAGATCTTTGTAGTTAATGTAAAATGAATGACTATATTAAAGGATATTAAACAAGGTGAAAGCTGAAAGGTATGAGATGAAGCCTTGATTTGATGAAGTTTGTAAATCCCAGAAATGAGTGGAAAAGGCAAATAAAACCCAATCAAAACCAAACATTTGTTACATATTTTTTTAAGGGGGGTAAAAAATTCTAGGGGTTAAATTCAAAATCCCCCCCCATACAGAATCCTTATTAACGCCCCTGCTAAGATTGTTTTAAAATGGTTAAAATTTTTGGTGAGATAAACTGTCATCATGGATGCAGGACACCGAATGTGACGTATTTGGACAGCTGCGAACTAGTTTAATCAAAACATAAACAAAGATTGTAAACAAAGGTTTAAACTTTCCTGTGCGGGGTGAGTAATCCTAAATTGTCATAGTAAAATGTAAACAAACCCTTAAACCGTTATCATAAATTTCTTGATTTAAGCCAAGCATTGTATGTATACGTTTTATTCCTAACTTTATTGGTAGTCAGGTTTTCTTCAGAGAGCTCCAATTGATTAATTGCCACAAACTCAAATATTCTAATCCCTATATCTTCGCAACCTGATGGGGAAAACTTTGACTTTTTAAACTTAGATTATTTGGCCTAGCAGAATTCATAGTTTGAAATATCTAATGGCTACGCTATTTGGGTATAAAATATATAGGGATTAGAAAATCAGAGTTTGTGGGAAAGGCTCAATTCCTTAGCTTATCTTTACTTTATTTTTAATTAATTGTCATTAATTAAAATGGTTTTACTCGCTCAAATCATCTTAATAGTTGTTCTTTCTCGTTTTGAAGTAAATAAAGACTTCAAACTATATAGAAATATTTAGGTTATAGTCGGAAACTTTAGGTTAAAACAGAGCTAAGCTATAACAAAGCTGTCTATATTAATTAACCTCATTGTTAAATATCTAAAATAAATATAAGACTAGATTGAACATTTGTTGACCTCCTATTGGTTGAATCTCCGAACTATGATCAATGATAGACGAAAAATAAAATTGATCAGTCAGGGTTTAACTCTCGAGGAAGAGAAGAGAACACCGAGATCTAGTAAGTAAGCTTAGTAAATTCCAGCTTAGGATAAAGAAAGTCGGTTCAGCACGTTTTCAATTTTGTCATCAAATTGATTTACGGAAAAGAAAAAATTATCAGTATTTCTTACAAGTATATTTTCTGTCTAAAGAACCAGGTCCGGGAGGGGCTGAGTCCATCAGTTCCCACCTGTATACGCCTCTAAAAGTGACCTGAAATTTTTACTTAAGCCTTTATTCATCACTATAGTTTCTGTATAAGTAAATATTTCCATTTACTGTTCGCGCCCATTAAAATATTCATATCTTTTATTGGATAATGCGATAGATAGAAAGATAGGTGTTACCGCCAGACTATTTCTATTGGTTCAGAATAGACAACAAACACATGACTAAACCCTGATTGAATCAGGCGTTAATGGAATCGACATACAAGTGTGTCATGTGGTAGACTTAATTGAAAATGTGTTGACCTTTAATTAAGTTTATTTTAGCCTCACATGTTTACCAGATTAAAGTTTTAAGGGTCTGGAGGGTCAATTAAAACAGTCCCTTTAAAGAGGCCAAAGATAATTTTCCTAAGAACATGGAACCCTAAATTTAATCCACTTTTTTAACCCGTCAATTTAACCCCCCCCCCCTGTAGTTTTTTTTACATAACTCAAAAAGTATTGGTCTGAGGCTGTTGAAATTTTCTGACTTTTCTTACATACCCATAGCCCTCCCTTTAGGCCTAAAACAGGGCTTTAATACTAACTGCCTGAGTCCTCAGGCACACTGCCTGAATGACTGCTTTTTCCTGTAACAAACTAAATCTTTGTTTTGACCCACTTTCACTTGTCAGATTTTGATAAAATTTAGCTTTTTG